GCTTGCCAGGCAGGCGCTTTGCCACTGAGCTAAATCCCCAGCCCCTAAAGGTTATATGTTTGATAATTCCATCAAAAGATCTTTTGTGTGTGACATGTTTTTATTTGCAGTATTTTCATTGAACTTTTTAAGAAATAATTGATATCTGAAAATTCCCATCCACTTGGGGGTTTATGTATGTTGTTTACCTTTTCCATTAGGTTCTTTAACATGATTGTGGTTATTTACATGACTGATAGGTAGGTTTGGCTTTGCTTTCTATTTTGTCTTTTGGCCATGGAATCACTGTTTTGTGTCTCAGGATACCATCTGAGACTTCAGTAAATATTTCTGCACTCCTGTTGAGTCCTCTGCAGTAGTGAGTGGATCTGGCTCGTTGTTCAGCTAGATTTGGAGTTTGCTGTTGTTTTTCCTGCCTTTGGTGCATGCTGGTCTTGTGATTCTTCCTGCACTTGTGTGATTAGCTGAAAGCTTGTAGGACCTGAGGCTTTCCTCACCCCTGATGCCTGAGCCACGGCTAGGGTGTCTTCTAAGGTGTGACTGCTGATGGTTGGTGCCGGCTTGGGCTAGGGACAGGGGTTTTTCATTTCTTCTATTCCAGTTTCATTTTAGGCCCTGTGTGCTTGATTCTTAAGGTGTAGTTTCTACTATCTCTGCTTCCTTTCAGTGGCACATAGCCTCTGCCTCCTACCTGGTGGAGGGCTTGGGGTGACCCTTCCCTTCAGTGCTGGCTGTTTTCTGCATGGTTTGAGAGGTCTTGGGTGCCAGTGTCCTGGCCTCTCCTGCAGTCCAGATTAGCTTTGCCTGGGTGCAGGATACTGGCAGGAGCAGGTTCTCTTCCCCGCCAGGGTAGCAGATGCTTTTGATTAATAGTCTCAGTGCAGGACCAGGGAAGCAGGTTTCTTATCCCTCCCAAAGGCAGCCAAGGGAGCAGGTATAGGAGGCTTCCTGCCCCTCCTTGGTGACTGGTGCTTTTACCTCTTGTTAGCGGCCAAGGAGGGCCCAAGCTGGGGGCTTTGGCAGGTGCTGACTGGCCGTGATTCTGTGTGACAGTTGGTCCTGCTGCACCTCACACTAAGGCAGACCTGTACCTTGCAGTCTCCTTCCTTGCCTAGGATCCTTCTCCAGAGCATGAGGGCAGGCCAGGCGTGGACTCTGGCATTCTCAGGGCTGCTAAGCTGTCCAGCTGGCTTACTGTTTGCCTTTAAAAACTCATTAAAATGCCATTTTTCTAAAACTTCATTTGTTTACTTCCTCTTCCTTTGTGTGCAGCTGGAGGAGGAACAGTTTGCAAGTCCTTTCTGTTCTTGGAGTGTTTTTGGCCTTTGGAAGGCCACTTAGCCAGGCTCCCTGAGAGTTCAAGCTTTAGTAGATTAGCCTTCTCTTTTTGAGGCAGTAATGGTCTCTTAGGGTCTTCTGTGTTCGCAGTTGAAGCCATGACTGTACATATCTCAACGTGTTTATTTTGCATTTGATGGTTTGATTGGGAGCAGATTTCTAGCTTGGAAAATGTTTCCATCAAAAGTTTTAAAGCCTTGACCTATCAACTTGGAAGATAAAAATTTCCATTGCTGCTATTAAGAAGTGCCAGTCGATTCTGGATCCTGTTTCTTTATGTGCCATTTGTTTCTTCTCTTGTCTTTGCTGTTGAAAAGTGTAAATTGATTCTATTCCCTTTTGTTATGAACAGTCTGTGTCTTCTCCTTGGAGACTCAAATCTGTGACCCCAGCTTCTGAAATTTCACAGAGTTTTACAGGTCTGTTTTCATCCTTGTGCTGGGCACTTACCTTTTGGGCCTATTTAGGCTGAGGGTTATGTTCTTTGGTTCTGGGAAATTTTCTTGAGTTATTTTGCTGATGTTTTCCTCATTTCCCTTACAATTTCTGTTCACTTTTTTGGGTATCAAATCTCCTGGACTGGTCTACATAATAGCATCATTTCTTTCTTAAAGATTTTTCTGTACTCCCTGGGTGATTTCCTTTATTCACAGCCCTATGAGTTTCTTGTTTTTGCCATCAAATACTAGTTCTCAGCAAGTCATGTTTATTCTTAGAATGTCACCTTTTAAATAGCATCCTGTTCTTAAATGGTCCCTGAGCAGGCCCTCTAGTTTCGCCACCTATAGAAGTGACTTTTGCTGCTAAGTTCATAGGCTTGGGAAATTTTGAAATGCACATTGAATTATTTCTTAGCTTTCCTTATGTTAAGGTAAAATCTTTCTTGAGTCACCTTATGTTTAATTTGATTTTTAAATTTTAAATTTTGTGGCTGTTGTCTCCTTCTGCATTTTTCCCACTCATCCGAGATTTTGCTTTTCAAAAATCCTCTACAATTAGAGTTTTATGGAAAGTACAGCTTGTATATGAAATCTGTCATTTTTACCCAGAAGTTCACAAGGGTAATCTTAATTTAAAAAGAAAAAACCTCTCCTTATGAGATCCCAATCTCGGCTGTGACACAGGACACCCTACATTACTAAAGAATGCAACTTTTGGTAATAGTGGTATCATCTTATCAAAAATTATGAAGAAAATTATGAAATTTGCAAAAAGATGAACTAATTTTCTTTTTTTACATCATAATAGGCCCAAGTCTCTTTTGGTGGTCTGAGAAGAAAAAAGATGAGCTTCTAAAATTTTGGGAAAATTATATTTTAATTATGGAAACGCTTGAAGGGAATCAGGTAAGTTTTATCAAGTTTCAGCAAATCCTGCCCTAGATAGAATTTTTTTCTTTTTCAAACATTCATTAAAAGCAATGCAAAAGGGCCAGCTTCAACACAGCATGATAGGACCCAAATATCCTTTGTTTTTGGCACAAATACTATTTAAAATAGAATGTAAATTACTTCAGGAAATTAATCCTTTCGGTCAACTCAAATGATAATTCAAAAAATTGAGTTTTTTGATCGTCCCTTGGCATTCTCAGACTTTAGTGCTTTTCAGAATCAAGCAGATATTTCATTATAAAGTCTAAGTTGTAGGCTCATGCCCATACTTTCTGATTTGGTAGAGGGCTTGAGCATTTGAGTTATGTGCAGATTGCTATATGGTGCCTTTGCATTACTCTGAGGTAGATCCCCATGTGTAGGTTGTAGGCCACTGAGGGGTCAGCCACCTGTGGGGCCTGTATGAGGTATGCCTTCACGTCGAGCAAACAGGGTAGGTTGGAGTAGGGAAATTACTCATGTGCCACATACACAGTGATGCAGAATGAAGAATTAAAAGCATTTCTAAATTGAAATAAACTTCTAGAGCTTCTCTGGTGAGTAGATCCATAGACCTCCATTATTTACTTTAGAGACACAGAGTTACATCTGTTTTGGAGGCTCTCCAAATTAAACTCTAGCAAAGGTGCCTCCATCCTGGCCTAAGTGGCATGAAGAACGGTGAGCTCTCATGTTCTCTGCTTGTCAGTGTGTGATGTTGAGCAATTAAGTGACCGGAGAAAATGCTTCTGTGTTTTTTCCCTTTTAAATATATCAGTTTTGTCAGCCCTGCCTTTCTCCCACGTCAGTTATTACATGAAATAATCCTGGATTGCATTACCTCACCATGTAAATGTGCCCGTTGCCATCATTGTGTTCACAGTTGTGTTTCTGAGCTTTGCTGTCCTCAGTCTTACATGCCTGAATCATGCCATGATTCAAAACCTGGAAGAATCAGCCTCCTTATGCTTATTTTTCACGGGGGTGTAAAAGCAAAAGGGCTGCCATTATATAAACAGGTGAACATTCCCTTACATTCTTAAAGGTGCATTTTCATTTCATATGATTTTTTGCTCTTATTTTTAGATACATGTTATAAAGCCAGTCTTACCAAAGCTAAACAATCTGTTTGAATATGCAGTGTCAGAGGAAAATGGTAATGATTATTTTATGTTTGCTTTTTCAAAAATAACATTTATAGTTTCCCCTTTGGTTTTATAACATTCTTGTTTATTGTTGAGTCTTTGGAAACACAACTAAACTATAAGGATGAAAATATGAATCCCCCATAGTGCAGCCACCCATTGATACTCCCTGCTAGCATCTTAGAGATGTCTCTTCTGGGCCACTTTCCCCAGTTGCCTTGCTCTTAGCAGGGTACCCATCTGATAGCCTTCATCCATATCCTTATACATTGTTCAAAGGTATAACTTGAAATGGCTGCCAAGTTTTCTGTAGTTTAAAGATATGAGTAACTTAAAAAATGTTACGGAAGGCTAACCATATGTACAAGTGTGATAAACCCGTCACCCAGTTACAGCGGTCCATTGTGGCCAGCCTGGTCTGTTCTCGTCGTGTGCAGCCTTTCCCACTCATCCCCAGCCACAGACATCATGTCATTTCATCTGTAAATACGTCAGTCTGTATCCTTGAAAGATCAGGGCCCTTCTGTAATACTTTTCATAATGGTGTATGCTATATTTTAAAAAATAGTCCTATGGTAGGAATATATACTTTAACTGCTTTCCATTGGTACTCTTTTTTTTGTTGTTACATATAAATATACATGTATCTTTTTGAGGGTCGGGGTTCTGATACTGTTACATATCTTGGATTTCTTAGGAAGAGAAAATTCCAGGGTATAATTTTAAACATATTATTGATTGATTAAACCAGGGATTGAGCCCAGTGTCTTCATATTGTGCTATATTTAGTCGTTTTTCCATTTTTTGAGACATGGTATTGTTAAATTGCAAAGTTGTTCAGGCTGGGCTCAAACTTGCAATCCTTCTGCTCCAGCCTCCAGTGTAAAAGATGTTTCTAAAGGTCTTGATCACTATTGTATTTTGAGAGCTTCCTAAGGGAAATGCAGTGAAGCTGAAGATTCCTAAAATTATGTTGTGAAATTAAGTTTAGATCAGTGAAACAGTGAAATGCAGTCCAGCCATGTTTTGTACTCACAGGAATGATAAATCACTATGTCGACACATGAGGATTAACCTAGGTAAATGGGCTTTAATGCCGCTCAGGATAATTACAACTTTAATAGCTTGACCCTTAGGGATTGAGCTTTATTCAGCTGATGGCGGAAAGCTGTTTTCTGATGCACTGGGATTTTTCACACACCATAAGCATGTATGGTCCCACCTGGGGCTACCGTTTAATTGAAACTATTATTACTTCACTTAATGCACTTACTATTAAAATGATGCTCTTATTACCACATTTTGCTCACAGCAATTGGCAAATCAAATAGAGACAATTTTTGAAAAATCACCATTGTCAAAGAACTGAATGGGCATATTGGTGTAAATTACAAATAATAGACCAATTTATTTATAGACTCATGAGTTAAAAATGGTGATTTTTTTCTAATAGAATTAAAGAATATTTCAAGAGTCAGAAAAATAACTCTCAGGGGTATACATCCCCTGTTTTATTTGCTCATTCAATTATATATTCACTTAATAGATATTGACAGAATAGAATATATGCTAAGCACTGGGGAAAAGTAGTAAGACAGATGCAATACTTTTTACACTTGGCATTTGTCTATTTTCCATGGGCGACATAGTTTTGTTTATAAGTTGTATAGCTGTATGAAGGGAACAAATAAGGAAAGGGCTAGGATGGAGCAGACAGTACTAGTGTAGTGAGGAAGGAGCAGTCTTGGGCGACATTTGGGCTCAGAACAAGGAGGCAGCACAAGCCCTAGATGGAAATAGGTTGGCCAGGCAGGCAGAAGACCTGAAGAGCTGCAAGAAGTGAGTGTAGAGGAGGGGACAGGGCAGGAGTGGGAGCCAGGGTCAGTCTACACCACCTTTATAGACTTTATTCTGAGAGTGGTGGGAAGTCATTTAGGGTGTTAATGCAGAGGGGTGATAGTTTTAGATTTCTGTATGCAGAATGGACTGAAGTGGGATGAGAGAAAGGATTGAAACTACCCCAGAGCTAGTTTCCATCTGCGTGCATGGGGTAGCATCTAATTCGTGTGGACTGTAGCAGCGCTTTATTCTTTTGCAGACCGTGTAAGTGAAACTATCTAAACGTAGAGTACTTAATACCAAGATTGTTTTGGTTTATTTGGTTATTGGTTATCCTGGGATGTGATTAAAAACCAACTGTCTTTTGTAATGTTCTAGCGGAGTTTTTGTGTTGGCGTGCGTACATATGTGTGACTGTGTAGTCTCTGGAGATTCATAAATCAGATGTCAACATTACATCTTTATTTCCACAGGCTGTTGGCTTTTCCACCCGTCCTGGCATTTGTGTATTTATAAAAGAATGTTTGAAAGTGAGAATAAAATTCTGACCAAAGAAGGTGTCATCCATTTTTTGGAGCTGTATGAAACAACAGCTGTTCCATTTTCACCGGAATTTTCTGAGGTGATGACAGCCCCTTTCTTGCTCTCTTTCCTTGGTCCCTTTGTCAAAAGAAGTAGATGTTTGTTGTATCTTACGTAATTTTCTAAGTAAGCACGCTGGAACGCTGTTACCTCTTCAAACAAATCTATTGCTTTTGGAAAACAATTGTGTCATTTTCGCAAGATGAATGGTAGAGCTTCTGGCATCCATGATAGAGAAGTAGTTCTCTACCATCAGTTTTCCAGACCTCAGTGGTGGCGAACCTATGGCACATGGGCCATAGCAGGCTCTTTGTATCATTGAAAGCTCTAAAACGTTTGCCATCACTGGTCTAGAGTGCGAAAAGTGGCGTCGAAACTTTCAGGTGACGCTGGCCTGCAGCTCTGAGTCATGGGATACAGCTGAGCCAGTGCAGTACTGTCATCTCCTACTGTAGGACAGCTCACGGTCTGAGCTCCATTTAGAATTGTGCTGCCACTTGTCAGAAGCCTCACAGAGCCAAGAGACCAGGAGAACTACAGCGTGTGTGGCAGTGCTTTTTTTCCCATGACCACTTTCTTAGGTTGGGCAGTCTACCTTCCAGTTAGAGGTAATCTGAAGTCCATTTCCTAACTGAACATATGTGGTTGTATTGACGTGCCTCATTTTTCTACATTACCCTCTCCTTTCAGTGCTTCATGTTTTTTGACCAGTATCTAGTCATGTTTTTGGGATATAAATTCCCCCCTTTATCTTCAGGCACAGGGACTTAAGTCTTGAGTATTCTGTGTTTCCTGGTACTGCCATTATTTCTCAGCATGTGCTTCTTTGGGTTCTTTCCTTCTTTCTTGACCCACAACCTGAACTCCTTTCTTAGTATGCTGTAGATTTTTAACCGGTAGGAAAATTCTGTATTATTCTGATGAAGTTAAGGTACACATAGGACCCTTGCTTCATTAACCTGCAGCAGAAAGGGTCAGCTTTGTTGCTGCTGCCTTTGGCCTCCTTGTGTAGAGGTACAGTTACAACTTCCTATTAATTTATGTCTTTTTTCTTTTTTAGTTTATCATTGGACCATTAATGGATACTCTTTCAGAGAGCTCATTGTATAGCAGGTAAACAGACATCCTGTTTGTTTGTTTTTTTAGTTAATTTTATTGGTGCATTTTAGATACTGTGTTGTTTATCAGTAATGCAGTACTGTGTATTTGATATATACATTTGGTGTCACCAAGTGGGATCAGATAGTTCAGCATATTTGGTTCATAGTCTGGTTTGTCTAACATAAAGTTAATTTTTTAGAAAAATCTGTAGGGCCTGATTTGTTATTCTTTTTGTCTTCTGTGGTTTGTATCATATGTTGTTCCTTCCTTCTTATTTCTTTTCCTGCCTCACACTCCTCCATTCCTGGGCTTTGGAAACTGTATCATATGTAGCCCACTTTGTTGTTACTGGGGAAATTGTAGTGACTATGGTTAACCAACAGTTTGAACTTTTTTCCCTTTTTCTTTTGACTTTAAAAACAATTATAGAAAAGTCCTAGGAATTCCCAGTTATCTTTTATCCATATTCCCCAAATGTTCATGTTTTATTGTGTTTGCCTAATTATTGCTGCTTTCATTTGTGTGTATGTAGTGGTAAAACATCCCTTTCTTAGGTCTGTCTGCCAGCCAAACTTACCCATCTCTATCCGCGTCATCTGTGCACACATTTATCTATCCATTCATATATCCATATTCATCTAGCCATGGATTTACACAAGTCTATCCAGTTTCAGTCCAGTTGTGCTGGGCTCATTATAACTTTTCCATATCTGACAGTGGTTGCCAGGATTCTAATATGTCTCCTTATTTGCTGCTTTTATCTAAAGGTAGCAATGAGAGGAGTTTGTCAGTATTGTGCCTTAGTCTCATCTTTTTGGGAATTATCTATGTTCTTAAATTTTAAAATTTCCCTCACTTTTGAAATTATATCCTCTCTGTACTATTGGTTTTTTTGTTCTTTTTGGAGACAGGGTCTCACTATCTAGGTTCAGGCCTTCCTTGAACTCACTATGTAGCCCAGGCTGGCCTCAGACTCACAGTGGTCCTCCTGCCTCAGCCTCCTGCGTGCTGGGTTTATAGGCATGTGCCACCATGCCCAGTCTCTACTACTGATTAATTAACTTTATAGCCTTAAGTCTTGTCTTTGGAATGCTTCTAAACAGGACCCTTTCCCAACCACCACCACCAGTTTATTTTAAAATGTTTAATGTATGTGCCAATTTGAAGAGCTGATACATGTGTTTGTTATGGGCTGCTACAGTTTCCCGGCACACTCATGTTTAGCAGATAATGTTCCTGGCAAAAGCACAGAGGAGAAAAACATGACTTTAGTAAATGTTAATAATTAAATGCTCTTGCAAAAGTAATTCACTACGATATATGTCTTGGCTGTGAATGTTATTTCTTTTACTTTGTGCCTAAGTTGTAAAGTTATTGAATTATAAGTTGGAAACAATAAAATATAATTCAAAATTACTATTTTATGCAGCTTTTAAAAATGATACTACAGTGGTACCTTAGCTCACGAACTTAATTCTTTTTTTAAAAAAATTTATTATTATTATTTTTTTTTACGAACTTAATTCTTTTCACAATTCTGGTTGCAAACCAAATTGGGTGAGAACTGAATCAAATTCAGTGGTTAGGTTCAGTGTTGGCCTTCTGGGGAAATCTGATTTGGGTCTGGTCAAGTTCAGTTTGTGGAATCATGGAAAGAATTAAGTTTATGAACCAAGGTACCACTACATTTAGCAAGATGCCTTTGTGTCTAAGACTGAGGGAAAACGTCATGAAAGGGAAAGGAGGTTGTGAGTCATGTTCATTTTCCAGGAAAGTGTTGGTGTTTCTGTAACGAGAAAGATTCTCAGAATTGTACTGGAAAATAAAACACGGATTTAGAAAAGGAAGATGGCCGAAGGACTTTGGGGGCAATAGTCTGTTTAGACTGGTTTTAGTGTATTCTTTTGTAAATAGATCTTAAATATTCGTTTTTCTCTTTCTTATCTGTAGGTCCTCAGGCCAGCCTATAGGAAGTGGTTCTCCATTGGGATTAAAATTAGAGAAGTTTTTAGTCACTTACGTTTCTCTTCTTCCGGAGGAAATGAAAAGTATGTGTCAGTAAGAGTTTTTCTCTTTTAACTGAATACTTTTTTAAACTTTTCACATATTGGTGTAAGCTCTGTTGCGACTGTTACAGTCAGTGTTTCCCAGGACCTGCCCATGTTGTCTGAGTTGTGCAAGTGTCCTTCGTGAGTGGGCTCTGTGCTGGCCCGTGCCTTGCCATGGTGCAGGAGCAGCATGGCGTGGTGGTGGAGGACCTGCCCCTGGCCACCAGCTCTAATTGTCTGCTCTTCGAGAATTAGGAGACTAGGTTGAACAAAGGAAGAGCCTGGTTTCAGGAAAGAATGGTAAACTCAGCGTCCACCTGGCAGTCCTTTTACAGGTGTTGCCTTAGGTTAGAAAGACAAATACATACACTGCCCAGATTGGAATTTGTCATTCTATCCCATGAGGTGAGTTCAGAAGCAGAGCACAGGGACAGTGTGCTTTTGCCTGCTGAGCAGCAAAGGGGCTTTTGCTGCTTTCTGAGACCTTTTCCCATTCCTGCTTTTGTGATTGATAAAGTCACCCTGTGTCTGAACTGTTTCTTACATTTATATTGAGTCTACAAATAAGTTGGTAAGATGACGAATGACAATATGTACCTATCCAAAAGTCATGTATACCATGACATTAAACTTACAGAAAATTATTTTGTTTTCCTTCCTTTTGGAAGTTAAATTAGTTCATGGAGAAGATGGTTAGAGCTGGCTTTTAGTTTTAAGTTTCTGGGTTCGTGCAACCTGGGGATAAACTGTAGGTCATGATGGAATGCCCTGTCCACAGCATGGAGTGAGAGGGATCTGTGTGCTGGGTGCCTGTGACTCAGGGCCAGGCATAGCACACACTTGGTGAGTGTGTCAGCTTGAGTGTGAGGGGAAGCGTCGCCCTGGCCATCCTCCTCAGGTCCTGAGTAAGAGCTTAGGCACATAGAGGGATTTGAATTTGATTAGAAGAAAGTGAAGTTAGGGTTACTCACCAGTTTCTAATGAATGTAAAGTTTTTTGGGTTTTTGTTGATTTCTTTGGAAGGTATAAAATACATATAATATTTTCTAGGAGCTTCTAAGGATTTCTTAAAGTCATTCTACATGAGCTAAGAAAGCAGTCAGGTATCACTAGCTGCAGGACCCAAGGTCCTTGACAAACCACATGTTAGCAGAAGACACAGGGGGTGCCCAGCCTTTCGTGTCTACAGTGTCATGCCAGCCTTGGTAATGAGGCCAGGGTAGGCAGGAAATGACCCATGAGAAAGGTTTGCATCAACCCATCCTGTTTTTCCTTAACAGCTCTGAGGTATGGGTTCTAAAACCTATAACTTAAAAAAACAAAAACAAAACCAAAACACTACAGCTGCATGATTATCAGAATCTCCACAATATAGCGGAATACTTATCTTACTAGATAGGAATGAAATTGAAATAACATTCTTTCTTTTTTTTTACAACAACATTATTGAGATATAATTCATATCCCATGAAAGCTACCCTTTTGGGCTGTTTGATTCAGTGTTGTTTAATATATTAAAGTTGTACAGCCATCACCACTGTCTGATTTCAGAATGGTTTCATCTCCCTGCAGAAGAGCCCCTTGCCCATGAAAAGTCACTCCTTATTCTTACCTTCCTATCTCCTAACATCCCCAACCCACCTTTTGTTTCCATAGATTTGTATGTCCAAAACATTTCATATACATATATGGAATTGCACAATATGTGACCTTTTAGATCTAGCTTCTTAGCACAGTATTTCAAAGTTCGTCCATATTGTGGCATGTGTTAGTATTTCCTTTTTGTGGCTGATTAATATTCCGTTGTGCAAATAGTCCACATTTTATTCATTCATCAGTTGGCAGGCATTTGTATTGTTTCCACTTTTGATTGGTATGGATAATGCTGTGAATATTCATGGAAAAGTTTTGATATGCACACACATTTTCACTTCTCTTGGATATAAACCTAGAAGTGAAATTGCTGGGTCATATGGTAGTTCTCTGTAATTCTGGGAGCAGCTACCATGCAGTTTTCCATAGTGACTGTACTTTTGTACACTTCCACCAGCGGTATGTGATTGTTCCAGTTTCTACAAAGTCTCCCAAGCACTTGTCATTGTCCTTTTGATTGTAGCTTTTATTGTGGATATGAAGTGGTATCTCATGGGCGTTTTGATTTGTATTTCCCTGAAACTAATGATGTTGAGTATCTTGATATGTGCTTATTGACAATGATAATATTTTAAAACGTTTTCTTCCAGGTAATTTCCTATTGAAGTTTCTTCAGAAGATGAGTAACAGACATTGGTGTGCTGTTCCCATTTTGTTCCTGTCTAAGGCATTGGCAAATGTCCCAAGATGTAAGGCCCTGGGTCTAGAAGGGCTTCTTGCTCTCAGGTAATAAACTCTTTATCTGGTCACATATGGTTATTTGCTGTGATTTTTTTTTTTTTTTATCAGCATAGTTCGTTTTTTTTCCTCAGCTTTCATCAGTGGTGCATGCTTTTGGTTAATATAATCTTATTTAAGAAAAGATAAATTAAACTCTTATTCCTGTAGCTTTTTTTTTGTACTGGGAATTGAACTCACATCCAGGTGCTTGCCAGGCAGGCACTATGCCACTGAGCTATATCTGCAGCCTAATAAAATTTATTTTGTTTTGAGTTACTAAGTTAAGTAAGTACTCTGATAAATGCTCATGGGTTCTGACAACTTTAAGACCAGCACTTTTTTTATTATATTGATAAGTTGAAAACTGAAGGTAAAATATCAAATGATAATATTAGAAAGTATTTTTAAAAATGTAAAATTCTTGCTCTAAAAGCATCTCTGTGCGTAGTCTTATTTTAAAAAGACATCATTTCATATTAAAACTGAACTCTGTCAGAGGCCGTGATAGAAAATAATGGCTTTGAAACCCTGCTACCAGTGACTTCCTGCTTAAAGCTATAAGTGTTATAAGTCAGTAATACAAGTTATTAGAATTGCCCTGGGCCTATGGAAATGTGTTCCTGTGTTGTGATGTCAGGGACGTCATCCAGTGTACTATGATCACACATCAGATTCTGTTGAGAGGGGCAGCGCAGTGCTTCCTTCTTCAAACAGCGATGCATTTGGTGGATGTGGTGAGTTTATCTTTGATATTCTTGTTTATAAGGTTGTGTTAGCCAGTAGGTTGCAAAACTGAATAGCAGGCATGTGGTCTACCATCAGATGGGCCTGCAGGTCAGATTGGCCCTTAGGACAGCATTGTTGGGGAACTTGGGCTTAGGATTTACAGTGTTTTCAGTGATAGGTGTGGCCACTGTGTGCCAGGTGTGCAGAAAAGATATGGCTTATGTGGACCCTTTGCTTCCTCTTGGAGTCAGGAATGGCACTGTGGGTAAGGCAGAAGCTGCAGAACCCTGGGTACTGAGCCTCTAGCACTTCCCCTGGTAGCAGCATTTCACATGCATTGTCACAGCTTGCAGCTTGCCTGTCCTGGGTGATTTTTACCTGCTCTCCACCCTCATGCCTTGGTCACCACCACCATGCCTGGAGCGCACCATGTTTTCCCTTATTTGCCAAGACCCAGAGCTCCAACAAACACTCTTGCCTAGAGCAGGGGTCAGCAGACTGTGAAGTATGGATATTAAATATGGTGTAGGTCATTAGAGCTTTCACTAATACAGCCCACAGTACCACGTATGCCATAGGTTTGCCACCACTGGTGTAAGCTTTTCTAGTCAGACAGTCTCTGGTGTAGCTTCTGAATTTTTCCTTCAGAGGCCAAAGCAACCAGGTCACATATGGTTATTTAGCTTTATGTGTTAGTTAGCTTTCTGTTGCAAGGACAAAATACCTGACACAAACAATAAAAAGAAGGAAAAATTTATTTTGGCTCACAGCTTCAGAGGCTTTAGTCCATGGTGAGTCGGCTCCATTGCTATGGGCCTGAGGTGAGACAACATTATGATGGAATGGTGTAGTGAAGCAAAATTGCTCACCTAGTGAGCGGCCAGGAAGCAAAGAAAAGGAAACCCAAGGAGAAAGGAATTGGGAACAGACATATAGTCTCCAAGGTCACTCACCCATGACCTACTCTCTTCACGTGGGCCTCACCTCTTGTTTCCATCACCTCCCAGTAATGCTGTCTTAGTTGCTTTTCTCTCATTGCTGGAACAAAATACCCGACACCCAAAGTTAAAGGAGGAAAGGTTTGTTTAGCTCACAGTTTGTGGAGCTTTCAGTCCATTATTGTCCAGCTCCAAAACAGGGTGGCACATGGCAGAGGAGCAACAGTTCATGGTGGTGGAAGACAGCAAAAGGAACAATGGAGAGAGAGCGCAGGGACAAGCCTATTTCTGTTCCTTATATTGTATCCAGTCTACTGGGATCAGGGTGGTGCCAGTCCAGTCAGTGGACTGATCCAACAATCACCATCCTTAATCTCAGCATTACACTATCAATCAATCACACACTCTAGATTCAGCCACCTCTGAAAAAGCCCTATGCCTGCATGAGGTTTTGCGGGGACATCTAGACACAAGTCAAATTATAATGTACTTCCTTTAATGAAGTTAGTCCTCAGGGTCCACTCACCTCTCTGGGCCTCATCACTGATTATTGCTTCATTGGGGAAAGTCCTCCATACATGAAATCTGTGGGGGTCGCTTGTATTTAAACCATGACAAACAGTTTCATGAATAAATAGGCAAAGCCATATTCCAGTGGAACTTCATTACAAGCTGGCTGGGAGCAGGCTCTTGACCCTGCCCAGAGTATAGACTTAATTTAAGATATGTAGCCTGCAGGCCATGACACCTTGGTTGTTTTCTTTAGTCAGGAGGTCATCTTTGTTGTTTTGAAAAGACTTTTTGATTGGCAGTAATCTATTCTTACAGAATATTATCTATTTTGAAGATTATAACTATCTTTTTCTCTAAGATGGTCACCTCATTTTAAAAGAAGATATATTGTAAAATAATATTTCACTTTATATAATGAATGATTACTTGATACCGTCATTTTAGAAGTGGGTGAATATTTTTTTGGATTTAACTGCTAATAGTCTACCCTAACTAATGTACTTGTTTGTTTGCAGGGGTGTTATTTTATTCAGTTGATAATTTTAAACTGAGTAGTGTTTTCAAACTCCCTGCTTAGGAGAAAGTGTCGCTGTCTGATGTCTCTACTTTTCTCACATCTCTGAAACAAGAGGAGTGTTTAGGGCGAGGAACTGCCTTGTGGACAGAGGTGAGGTTGGAAGAGAATTCTTTGAAAACTCACAGTTTTCAAAATCGTGTTCTCATTAAGCTCATTACTTACATTTATGTAAAACGTAACAGCTGCAGTACCAGAAATTTTGAAATACTGTGCATTTCATTTGAGTGGCCTTAACCTCGTGCTGCCAGGATTCTTACGGCTGGTAGGGAGGCATTTGGCTAGACAGATGGGTCTTCTGAGCCGAACAGTGCTGGAGGCAGATCTTGCTCTGGCCCAGATGAGCTGGGAATAATGAGCACCTTAGACTCAAAGACCTGAAGTCCGCAGGTCCCTTCTTTGTTTTGTTTTCTCTCAATGAATGGCACTTTCTTCTGCCCAGCTGCCCACCTGACATCTGACATTATGGTAAATTTTTTTTTTTTGGTGGTACTCAGGAGTGAATTCACGGCCTTCACTGACCTACAACCCCAGCTCTTTTTTATTTTTTATTTTTATTTTATTTTATTTTATTTTCTCAGCTCTTTTTTATTTTGAGATAGTCTTACTGCATTCCTGATTTGCCTAGGCTGGGCTTGAACTTGAGATCTTCCTGCCTCAGCCTTTTAGAATGCTGGGATTACAGGTGTGTGCCACTGCAGTGATTCTTAATTCTTCCTGACTGCACCTGTGTCACCTTAAGCCCTGTTGTCTATCAGCTGCCTTTCCTCTCCTGCATGCGCAGCAGGCTGTCTCCAGCTCCCTTGGGGTTGCTTTCTCAGTGTCCCTGGCCCAGAGGCCTTATCAGTGTCTTTACATTAAGGGCATTGGTAGCTTGTTATACATGTTGCAAAATTTTTTCCTTATTTTTTAAAAAGATCTGGCTTTGCTTTGCTTGCCTGAATGAGAAATGAGCTGCCATGGTTTGGAGATTGAAACTACTAGTAAGAAGCATCTCATTTCCATCTTGTTCTTCTACCCTGTCCTGTCCTTAGACAAATGATAGCTTTCAATGTAGGCCCTGCTTACCACCTTCCAAATTTTAATTAACAGTATATCCTAGTGATTTCTTTTTATCAGGAGGCAGTGACTTTTTTTTTTGTGGTACTAGAGATCAAACCCAGGGACATTCCATCACTAAGCTACATGCCTCATGCCCTGTCTTTCTTTCTGGGCTTGAACTTGTGATCCTCCTGTCTCAGCCTCCCCTAGTGCTGGGATAACAGGCATATACACATGTGCCATGACACCCAGCTTCTTATTCTTTTTTGTACACTGGCATAGCGTTCCATTAGTTGTACCGTGTTCGTTCAGCTTCCCCTATTGCTGCACTCCTGAGTTGATCCAGTCTGTGCTGTTACAAACACTGCCACCATGAATAATCGTGTTGTTTATTACTTCTGCTGTTAGTAGCTGTAGAATAGGTTCCTTGATTACTGGTCAAAGACTAAATGCGTATGTGCAGTTATGGGGGATGCTGCCAAATTTCTCTCCATAGGGATTATCTTAGCTTTTTTACCACAGGCTTAGTGGATTAAAATAACACACCTTTGTTCTTGTTCACTTCTGGAGGTCAGGAGTCTCTAATCGGTTTCATAGGCTGAAATCAAGATTTTGCAGGGTTGTGGCCCCTTAGGAGGTCTGGAAGAGAACCAGTTTCCTGCCTTCTCTAATATCTAGAGCTGTATTCCTGACATTTCTTCCTTATCCTCCCTGTTCAAAACCAGCAGCCCAGCATCTTCCAGTCTCTGCTTCATCTTCATGTTGTCATCTTGTCTTCTGTTTCATAGTCAAACCTGCCCCCACCTTGCTTTCATGAGCACAGGTGTGGGTACTCTGGGCCCACTTAAGTCGTCTAGATCATTTCGTCCATCTCATCATCCTTCATGGAGTGACATGCAGAGACCCTTTTGCCACATCAGGTAACATTCACAGGCTGTAGGGATGAGGACCAGGACATCTTTGAGGTCGCTGTGCAGCCTACCATAAGGTTGCTCAGATTTCACAATATAGGTAGTGTTGTGAAAGTGTCAGATGTGAAAGGTCATGTCAGAGTACCTATGGGTAGATAGATAACAGATTTCATAACGCTAAGTTTGGGCATCTTTTCATCTAGCTTTACTTTTGATTTTAATAGTTTACTTTTTTTTCTTTAGCTTTTTCTTAGGAAATATTTAAAAATTCTTAAAATGTTTTAATGCCATCTTGTGTACAGTCACCCAGCATCTGCTGTCACTGTTGGTGGTCAGCCTTCCTTGTCCTGGGCCTTCCTGGGCCCCTCTTTTTCCTCCAGTTATTTTGAGGTGATTCCTATCAGGTGTTATATGCACCTTATGGACTGCTAAACAATGAAGACTAAAAAGTAGATCCACATCACATCTCTATAAACTAACCATAATTTATTTTAAATACCAAATTTATTTTTAAAATTTTTTTTGCATTTTGTTTGGTCAGATAGTCAGTTTTTATTTGTCCAGGTATCTATATGAGATCAGTTATTAAAGTTGGTAGCTGTAATTTTTAAATTGGGGGCTTTAATCCATCTGGCATTTATCTTGCCATACAGTATCAACTGTGAGGCTTAAATGAGGAAATATATGTAAAAGTGCCTACAACCCATAGTAAGTGTAAACATCCACTCTAGCTATTGTTTTTTTTCCCCTTGGTTTTGACATTTTCCTGTTTTGTTATTTATTTTATTTTTAAGCATCTAATTTTTGGATTTCTTTACTTGTTCCCCTTAATTTCTTAGTTCTACAATTCAGTCATGTCTACTTCCACCCTTTGTCTGACTTTGCTTTGCTTTAGCTTGTTTTACTTTTCTGTAATCCTATCTAGAATTCATATATTGAGAGTCGTTTACCATGCACCTTCCACACATCAGGGACTGTGCCAAGCACTGGGAATGCAGCGGGCAGTAAGAGAAACTGGTGGCTGTCCTCAGGAACAGTATGGCCTAATGGTTTATAATTCATTCCTAACTTTCTCTTTTTTAATAATGACAGTACTTGTATTAGTCTGTTGGTTGTTGCTATAACAAAATACCTAAGACTGAATACTTATTTATAAAGACGTTTATTTGGTTTATGAATCTCATGGCTGGAAAGTCCACAAACAGCATGGCAGTAATGTCCTGGTGGCTGCCCCTGGCTGCATCACAACATGGAGAAGAAACGAAAAGGGAGCAAAGACTGTGCAAATGGGTCTAGCTTTGTGGTGACATGGCTTTGTAGCAGCCTGTTTCGTGAGAATTAACTCACTCTGTGAGACTGGCTTTACTCCCTTTCAAGAGTAGAGCAGAGCACCCTGACCAATCTGCTTTTCACCAGGCCTTAGCTCTTACAGGTTCCATCACTAGAACACCACCAGAAGCCTAGTGCTGTAGCATATACTTGTAATTCTATTACCTCACGTGGCTGAGGCAGGAGGAGGAGTCCAAGATCAAGGCTGTCCCGGACAACTTAGGGAGACCTCATCTCAAAAAATAAAAAGGGCTAGGGGTTTAGCTTGGTAGTAGAGTACCCTGGATTTGATCTCCAGTACACAAAAAACAAACCACCACATTGGTGAACACTTGCAGAAGATGAACCTTTGGGGTACACATTAGAACCACATCCAAAGTGTGGCATATTTGCATGTATATGTTAGTATAGATTTGACAGCGTCCCATAACTTTCGTTATGTAATATTATTATGTAAATATCTATAAATGTATTTGTATGCAATTTTAGATGACTTTAACTAATGCAAAAATATTTTTTAAAAGTTCGTTTCAGAAAGACTCATTTTATAATTCATATTTAAGTTCATATATTGAATTGTACATTGAGACATTGTAAAAAGGAAATTGTAAACATTAAATCACATTTAATTTAGATTTAATTTAAATTCACAGATCTAATCAATGATTGTGAGGTTACTTGACTTATTTTTACTGACCTAAGAGATACAATGCAGAAGGACTGAGATAGTATTTCTCTTTTAATATATTTTAATAGGCAAATATGGTAGAAAAACTTGTGAGAACAGGAACTTTAATTATAACTCATATTTTAAATTATGCATTACCTCAAAAACTTATAAAGTTCTTATTTTAGCATAGAAAGCTGGACAGAATTTTAAAGTTGTAATTGGTTTTACATATTTATGTTATTTTGCTTAGAAATGTTCTTTAGGTCACCTCATCAAACTGTGTTTTATATTAGGTGCTTTAGAAAATACAACAATCTGTTTTCATGAGTTAGTTCCATAGACAGTATATACAGCAAAAGAAGTACATAAACGTATAGATAGTCATGTATAGCCCCTAATGTTTCAATTAACAGTGGTCCCCTGAGATTACAGAGAAGCTGTTCCATTTAGCAATTTACATTCAGTTCATTGTGGAAGAAAGAAATTGGCTTAGGAAAATTAGCAACCCTTTGTTCAGTCAGGTTTTTAGAATAAAGTAATCCTATGTCTGTTTTCTTTTCCAGCTCTGCAATTGGCTGCGTGTCAACGAAAGGTGTTTCAGGCCAACCTCTATTTGCGGCCCTGACGGATTTCCAGAGACATCTCTGAATGTTTATGTGAAGAACCTGGTCCAGGAGTATATTAAGTCACCTGCTTGGGAAAGTAAGTCTGTAGTTCTTTTTATAGGTTGATAGAACCAAAATATTTTCAAAGAGGTTTTTACTAGATTTGAGGTTGAGATATGATCACACAAATGTCAAACTTGTATTTCGGTCAAAGAATGTGAATAGCAGAAAGTAAAAAATACTGTCTCCCAACTTGAGTTTTGTTGGTTCGAAGATTTGAAATGTTGAACTATTTTAGATTTTGTAAGCTGATGAGTTGCCAGAGTAGGTGTTGAACACAAATGAATTTATTAATTTTTCATACAACTGCTCAATCTTTGGAGCTAAATTTTACAGATGTGTTTTTGGAAGCCCTGTAATAGAAATATGTGGAGGTTAGTGATTCATCTTTGTTTTCAAACTGTTATATTTAGTGTGAACTGATTATGTGAAAGAATTTTAGGGAAAAAAATTTTGGAAGGATGATTTTGTTAATTTTGTCTTTTCTTCTCATTGTTAGCCAAGATTATGTTTGTTTGTTTTGTGGTCCTGGGGGTGGAACCCGGGGCCTGGTATATGCTAGGCAGACGCTGGATCTTTGAGCTACACTCTGTTCCTTGCACCACTTTTGCAGAGTTCTTTTCTTTGGAGAAATGTGTAAGACTGTCTGAGGGGTGAGTTCTTAGCAGATTTCATTAATGAGGATTCCTTTCCCATTTCTAATGTTTCCTTTTCATTAAAGTCATTAGTGATAATTTGGGAAAATTGCATCTTTGAATTTAATGTGTCTTAAATTAGCTAGCTTTGCCTCAGACTAACTCATTTTCATTTACTGATTTCTCTAATCTGATCATGGAATAGGTCTTAAATGATCTGATAATTATTCTTCCAAAATGCATGCGTTTCTCTTTTGTGTTTTATTTCTCTGTTCTCTAGTGCATTTTCTGCACTGTTACTTGGAAGATTCTCTTGTTACATCTGTTCAAATAAATGAACATTCATCCCTATTAGAGTAAGCATAGACTGGATCCACCACATCTAAGGTGCCCAGCCTCGGTGTCATGGTTCCATCCTTTTTCTGATTGCATTCTGGGTAAAACTCAGCTACAGTGCTAGAATTCCTCTTACCTGTTTACCTTGCATTTGCTCTTGCTCTCCTTCAGTCTCTTGCTCCACAGTGTTGCAGGGGAAATCTTTTCAAAACACTGGTTTCAAGCTTACACATTTCCCCTCCCTCCTTTGTATGCTTTCACTATCGCAGGCTTCCTGTTGCCGTTTAGACAAAGACAATAGCATCTGGTGGCCTGCCTAATGTCCAACAGCATCTCGTGGCCTGCCTAGTGTCCCAGTCTTTTCCCACCTCCACCCATGTCTGTCACCTCATTTGCTGCTCTTCCCTCTCACTTAGGTGCGCAGGGGCATCTGTCTATTTCCTAGAATGGTCAGGCTGTCTCCTGCCAGGACCTTCCACACACCTTTCCTTGCATCCTGGGAAGCTCTGATCTCCCTTCACCCACCTCATCCATTCTTGTCCATCCCACTCAGCCCAGTTGTTATGTGTCTGCAAGACTTTCTCTTGTTCTTCAGACCAGGCTGCGTCCTCCTGATGTGTGCTCCTGTAGTGTGTGGCCCTCTGTGGCAGGCCCTTAGCATGTTGCATTTCTGTATTTCATTGCTGATGCTTTGACTGATGCCTTTCTTCCATACTGAATTTTGGATTCCTCGAGCACAAGAACCACTGGTCTGAAGCCCAAGGTCAGGCAGTAGAAGGCATACAGCGCTTTGTTTTTGTTCAGATTTATATGTGGATGTGTAGTCATGAGCTTTATTTCTCTAATAATGTAACATTGGTAAGGATAATGACTTGACAGTTTGTTTTTAAAGTGTCACCTTTGAAAGACTTTGTTACTGCTCTGTAAACCTTACCTTGTATTATTCAAGCAGGAGAAAGCTGTTTTATGCCTGACTGGTCTGAGGCCAGGCTGACTGCTCTGATGATCTTGGTAGCTGTGGACGTGGACGGAATGAAGACTGAGTACAGGTGATTATTGCTTTCACTGGAAGGAAAGCCTAGTCAGATTTATGATGTCTATTTAGACTTCCACTATGTGTAGGTTGATCACAAAGTATTAAAGGATGGAAGTTGAACACTGGAAATATACTAAAGAAATGCTTTACATTAGCAGGTAAATAGGAATAGGGCGTATTAGTCCTTTTAGGCTGGTAAATATTTAGTATTATATTAGAGAACGTTAAAAAATACTATATATTAATAAGGGTTGGTTTTATAGCCATATTAGAAGAATGGATGGTAAAATTGTAGCATCAGAATAGAGAGACACTGAATTTGACTTCTTTATAAAATACATAATTTTTAAGACATGATAATAAAGACAAACCAGCCTCATTTACATTTTGAGAGTCTGAGATAAATTCTTGTCAGATTATAACTACTGAGATAATAGCTTCGGTAGGTAGATTGATAGCATATTTGCATGGCAGTTAATTTTATTTACACCAAATCTTTTTTAGGCAGAGTTTTAGTACTCAAGGTGATGATACCAGTTTTACATAAAGCTTTAGGTTTTTACTTTAAGCATGTTTCATTTCATTTCTTCGATCTAGCTTACCTATTTTACCTTTGTTTTGTATTGTTTTTCTGTATTTGTAGAGGCAGGGTCTCCGCAGTTTGACCTGCAAGGGAATGGGTGTAGGCCTTTCCTTCCCACTGGGGCCTGTAGTTGGAGTCTGGAGTTCTTCCTGTACTTTTCTTCCCTAGATAGTCATCACATTTACGGAAAAGCACACACCAAGAGACCTGTCCCCACAGGTGCTGGGTGTTTCAGTTGTCTCTATGAGTAACTTTGTGTAATTGATTCCTGTAGCTAAGCAGTTCCACAGATTATAGATGGGCAGTAATTTCTTTATGCTTTGTGATGATTGATTTGGGCATGTCTTTAATATCTAGTGAAAAGCGGAGAACACAGAATGTGTTGAGGATGTTCCTAGACCCCCTTCTGGATGCCCTGGGGAAGCTGGGAACCAATGCCTACATGCCCTTGCTGAGGACCGACAGATGCCTGCAGCTGCTGGTGAAGTTGTTGCACACTTGCGTGTTGAAAAGTTCTGGCCCCCAAGATGGTGAGGACATGTAATCTCTATGGGTTTCTTGCTTGGTATGTGGCTTATATTGCAGAATGAGAGGAAATTCCTGACTTTTTTTTACATCAAAGGGAACTTCTTTCAGCATATTTATTGGGTGTCTCCTGGTAGTGTTTGGATACATTGGAGTTGACATTCTAGTGTTTTATTTTTTATTTACTTATTTATATATATTTTTTTGGTGTCAGGAATTGAACTTGGGCCCTTGCACTTTCCAGGCAGGCGCTTGTGCTGCTGAGCTATATCTCCAGCCTCGAGTGTTTTACATGTGTTGGTTACTTTCGGTTTTAGAATGCAGCTTCATTTGACTTTTTAAAACAATTTGTTTGTTCATTGATTTGTAGACTGTTGAAAACAGTTACTTTGTCATATCTGTTTATGCAGGATCTGTTTCTGATTGCCACAGTGCCAGATGTTATAGGAAATTATATAGAAAAGCATGACAAAGGAAGTAATTTATACTTACTTCTAAATATGTTAATCTCTGAGCACTCCTTAAGTAGAAAGTACTTTATACAGAAAGTACGGTGATAGCTGAGAGAAGCACTGAGGGGACTCTTCTCTCCTTAAGGTACATGTAGCAAAGCAGTGGGCAACACAAGTGTCAGAGGCAAATACTGATGGGTAAACCTCAGTCTCCTATCCTTTCTGACCAGTTGTATTTACAATTCTAGAAGTTCACTATTGAAGATCCTACACAGCATTGATATTAGGTTAAACCTGAGAATAATATTGAAAAGGTTAGATTTTAATGTTTATGAAATAGTAAATCTAGTGTTAGGGTTTTGTATTTTTTATGATGGAGCAGAACCACATGCTGTGAACATGGTGGAGACTTGTAAGGTTTCCCTTAAGAGCATTAGTGTGAACTCATTTGACATGTCCTGCGTATTACCAGGCTCAGCAGTGCATGGCCAGATCACAAGTGTCTTTAACATATTCCTGCTGGCTTGAACAACCACTGGTACATGCATGACTCTCTCGCTGGGTGGAATGGCACAATTCCATCGGGTGGCGTGGCGCACTCATACACGTATGACCCTATTGTGAATAGGTTAAAAATTGTAATAGTACTTGATACAAACAAAATTATGTGTGTGGGTTTGCTGTGTTCTGATGCAAACTGACGGCAGACCTGTACTCGAAGCCCCAACCTCGGAACTCGCCCACCTGCTCCTCTTTAGTGCCCTCTTCTTGCTTCCCTGTTGGTTTTATCTTTTTCTTTTTGACTCTCATGAGTTTTAGAAAAGGGTTTTTGCCACATATATAGATACTCTTTAATAGTATATTGTTTCTTAGACTACTTTATTGACTTTTGATTGACTTGTTAAAAACCTGTATATACTAAACTTCTACAGTCTGAGGAGTTTGAGAATAAGCCCTTAAGGCCATCACCTCCCAGAATTTCGTGCCACTCCTGTTACTGTTACTGTCTGTGAGAAGAGCTCTTCGTATAAGATTTTCTTTTCTATTTTAAGTGTATAACAGCAGCAGTGGGATTTCCAGAACTTACTTAATTTGTGGAACTGAAACCTTGAATCTTTTGGCCATCCCCTGCCATTCTGTGGCGTGACTTCACACCGTTGATTGTTTCCTTTGCTGTGCAGTGGCTTTCTGATTTGATATAATCTCACTTGTTTATTTTTACTTTTATTGTCTGTGCTTTTGGCATCATATCCAAAGTGGTCATTGCCAAGACCGAAGTTAAGCTTTTTCCTGATGTCTTCTAGCAGGTTTAGTTTCATGCTTGCACTTAAGCCTCTTACACCATTTTGAATTGGTTTTTGTGTGTTTAGTTTTGTTTTCTGCAGGTGAATATCCAGTTTCTCAGTGCCAGCTATAGAAGAGACTTGCCTTTCCGACTCTAGATTCTTGACCCCATTGAAGATCAGTTGACCATTCGTGATGAGTTGAGCAATGTGTTATTTCGTTTTCTTGTTTTCAGGTTTTATAGAAATGTATCTTCCTGTAAGGAATCTCCTGTGCCTTGTCCACTGCACATACTCTTCAGATTCATTCATGTTGTAGGATCTTCCATTGACCAACCACAGCACAGTCTGTTGGATCCCCTCTTGGTGGATGTTGGGTCCCCTCTTGCTGGACACTGTGTCATGTTTGGTTTATTCCTGTTGTGTATAGTGCTGCTGTGGACACGTTCTCATGTTTCCTGGTGCCTGTGTCTGAGCCACTCCAGGGTAGGTGCCTACCTTGAGAATGAAATGGGACTTCCTCAGGTGTGTGTATATTTGGCTCTATAGGAAGATGCAAAATGGTCTTTGTGAGTAGCTGTGTACATGGGGTGTGTTCCTAGCTGAGGACCATGAGGGTTGAAGGTTGATGGTAGGAGCTGTGATACAGCAGGACTCCAGGAGGAACTGGCTGAGGACCAGCTGGGTGGCTGGGGGTCAAGGCCGGGGGACAATTCCAAGAGGGAGGAAGTACTGCCCTGGGCTAAACATGTTGACTTTCATGAGAGGGTTTTCACTGTAGACACTAAAAGTAGGGAGGAAGTGAGGATCAGGGATGATGGTTGAGATCTGGGCTTTGTGGTGGTGATGTGTTCTAATTTGGCTGTGATGATGGCTGCATGTATGGGTGCCTGTGCCAGAAACCACTGGATTGGACACTTTTAGTAGGGGACTGAATGTCAGGTGAGTGACACCTCAGTAACTTAGAGATAGTGTGAGTCTCTTTGTAGAGTACATGTGTGAGTCTCTTTCTAGAGTCTGCTCTGTTCCCTTGATCTGTGCTCAGTGCCACATTGTCTTGGTTACTATAAGTCCATAATAAGTATGACTTCTATTTATCTTTCTGTCTGTCTATTAATTTATTTGCAGTCCTGGGATAGAAGCCAGAGCCTTTGCACTGAGCTGCATCCTCAGCCCTTCTTAATTTTGAGATAGGGTCTCTCTACATTGCTAAGTTACCTAGACTGGGCTTGAATTGGGGATCCTCCTGCCTCAGCCTCCAGAGTGCTGAGATACAGGTGTGTGCTACCATATCCCTGGGCTTCATATTTACTCTTCTGTGTCAAAACTGTTCTTAACCAATGTAATGTCTTTACCATCTGTTATAAATTTTATAGTCAGCTTGTTTATATCTACCCCCCAAAAAAATCCATGCCAGAATTTGACTGGAATTGCTTTAAAGCTGTAGATCATTTTGTAGAAAATCACCTTCTTTATAGTTTTGGGGCTTTTACTGCATAGACATCTTGTGTGTCTTCACTTATGTATGTTGTCTTTGATTTCTTCATCATAGTTTTGTAGTTTTTAGCATACAGCATACCTTGCACAGGTTTTGTTAGATTTAGAGCCACATATTTTTATTGGAGCAGAAGCTTTTGTGAATTTTTAGGCTTGAGTTTTCCACTGTACAGTGCTAGTTTAGAGAGATTGATTTTTGTATGTTGGGACCTTGTAGAAAGACTTAGTTCTCAGAGCTTTTTTATAGGTTCCTTGGGATGTCCTTTGTAGACAGTCATATCATCTGTGAATAGGGACACTTATTGCTAGAGCTGCCTGTAGGATTCCCTGGTTCTTCTTGTGTCTCCAGTGTTTGTAGTTACACCTCTGTTTGTGTTCCTGTTGGTGGTAATGTGTCTTTCTCCTTGCTGTCTTTCTAAGGCTTGGTAGTGGTTATCATTTCATTGACCTTTTCAAAGAACTAGCTTTTAGTTTCATTGCTTTAAATTTTCCTGACAACTACTCTGTGCTTCTTTCTGCTTGTTTTTTGGTTTATAGGTTTATTTTGCCCTTTTGTGTTAATATTGAGGCTGAGATTAGTTATTTTAGACCTTTTTCATTTTCTGTGCAGCCTGCTTTCTTTTGAGGTGCTGGGGATGGAGCCCAAAGCCTTGCACATGCTAGGCAAGCTTTCTCCCATTGAGCTATACCCACAGCCCCTCCTGCTTTCCAAAATGACATTTAATGTCATGAATTTTCCTGTAAGCTTTACTCAACTGCATCCATATATTTTTGATATGTTGCATTTCTAATTCAGAGTATCTTCTCATTTTCCTTGAGATTTTCCCTTGAGCCACAAATTACTTAGGGCTCACTAACAGGGTTACTTGATACTTAGTAACAGGAAACGCTCACCGTAAGCATGTAGGGGCCACACAGCACTACTCGAGGGGCCCCAAGGAGCATGTGCTCTTCATCAGTGCCACTTGACAGACTCCCAAGAGGGCTGAGTACTTAACAGCAGCACCGCTGTGGAGGTCCAGTGGTGATGAACTGGACGAGTGTTCTCCAGAAAGTATAGGAGTGTCCAGTGGCAGTGGGCTGAACTACTACACAGTGCTCTGTTCCATACCCAGTTATTAGTTGTCGCAGGCAGCGAATAGATTAAACTGCAGAGTGGTGACATTGTAGGTGCACCGTGTTCCATTACATGACCAGCCTTCCAAGGAGCAGCTGACTGCGCATACGGGCAGGAAGGCGGGTTCTGCAGATAGCCCTAGTTTGCCCAGTTCCCAGTGTTCCCTCATCTTGGCAGAAGTCTTGGGAATACAAAGTGGTATTTTAGGGACATGATATTAAATGTTCTGCTTTTTCATATGGATGGCATATCCTGTTAGACATAACAGGATGGCATGGATGGACATGGATGGACATAACATGGATGGCATATCCTGTTATAACCTTTGCTTTCAGCCATCAAACATTCTAAAGAAACCAAAGGAAAAGAGCCTGTCGTGTTTACCAGGGATCTCACAGATTTCCTTCTTGATGTTCCAGATTTCCCTAGGGCCTCATATCCCTTTTGTTTGAAACACTTCCTTTAGCATTTCTTCTGGAACATATTTATTGGCAGTGAATTCTATTAGTTTTCTTTCATCTGAGAATGTCTTTGTTTCACCCTCATGTCTAAAGAATACTTTTGCTGGATATACAACTCTAGTTTGATGGATCAGCAGTTTATGAGATATGATCAAAATATACAATGAACGTTTAGATTGAAAACTACCATAGTAAGCAACCCACTGTCATTAGTCCCCCTCAGGTTACTCCCTCCCATTTCAAACACATGCACCCCAGCTTTCTTGCCACCCTGAGAAGTTCTGAAAGTCCTCTTTCATGAGTGTCTTTAGGAGGTATGATCCCAAATTTGGTGAATGCTACTGCCTCCTGCCATCCAGTAAAAAGTCAGGCCCGTACAAACATAATGGTGCACCCTCTTCCTGCTACTGACTGGATCTGGCACTGTGAACTTCTGGCTCTTCCCCAGAGTCAAAATGACCCTGAAGGGGAAATGTTTTGAGTGGATTCAGAACGTGGAGGCAGCCACAGTAGCACAACTGAAGAAACAAAAGAGGACTTCTAGAACTGCTTCAGAAAGTGGCAAGAATGATGGAGTAAGTGTGTTTGATGCAAGGGGGAGTGTGTAAGGGAGGTTAATGGTAATGTGTCTTTTACTGAGTTAAATTTAAAATTTTTAAAATATTTACCATATTTTTTGATCGCATTGTGTCAGCCTGTCTTACTGCTTTGCTTTGGCCTTCCCAGCTTCCCCTGGGAACTCTGTCCTAATTGAATCCTTCTCCTTGGTGTTATATTATTTCTCTGCTTTCAAAATTGTGTCTTCATCCTCAAGTGTTTAGCATTTGGTTATGCGGTATCTGCCCATGGATTTTGGGGAGTTTTATCTTTTTTGGAATTCTCTAGACTTCCTGAATGCATAGATTTATATCTTTTATCAGACTTGGGAAGTGTTCGGCCATTCTTTCAGTCACATGCTCTCATCTTTGCAATCTTTTTGTTTCCCTTTTGGGTCTCTGATGCCACTTGTATTAGATTGTCGTTACTGTCCCACATAGATCTGAAGCTATGTTTATTTTTCAATTATTTTTCCTTAGATTTTCAGATTGCATTTTTCAGTGATTTAGTTCTAAGTTTACTGACTCTTTTCATGTCTCCTCTAATTTATTTCAGTACGTTTGCCACTTGGTTATCAGATGCTTTTTTGATTTTTCGGTGTATCTTCTGTTTATCTGCTGGGGCTGTTCCCTTTCCTTCAAAAGCGGTCCTGATTGCTTGTGTTTATAAAAGCTGCTCAAAAATCATTGTCTAATTCCTATGTCTCTAACATCCATGACTCGTCAGTAGCGTGATTGTCTTTTTGGGATTTTTCCTGATCCTCATTAGCCCAGCAGTTCTGTGTTTCACTGTAGCTATTTTGACTATCGTGTGAGACCTTGGGTCTTCTTCAAGTCCTCTGGGGAGAACATTGAGGTTTTTGTTGAGCAGATGGTAGACCTGGTGGCATTCTGGGCTTGCATTCTGAACAGCTTCTGTGAGTGCTGGTTTCACTCAACTTTGCTGTCACATCCACGTGGTGCCCTGAGGATCTGCATCCATGTGTCCTGCCTGCGCTTCTGCAGCTGGGCAGTTGGGTCTCTGTCCCCTCAGCCCTGGTCTGCAGGATGCAGGTCAGCACTGCCGCAGGAGCTGTACACAGGAGCCGTTATCCTGCACACAGCCTCCCTGGAGGTTTCTCCGTCTTCATCCTCTGCCCACACTGGGCCGCACCACCTCGTTCTTGTTCTCATCTGCCGACAGTCTGCAGGGCAACCTGAAGAGGAGCCAGTGAGCCTGTGGCCATCCAGTGTCGCTTCCTTCTGCCTCTGTCAGCTGCCCTTCCCTTCCGTCCCATATGTGTATTCTGTCTGGGCTTTATCAGTGTCCTCAGTGAGGGACTGTGTCCCTGTCCCATCCTGCCTAGAACCAGACCCCCCGGTAACCTGTAAGATTAGTTATAGACTCCCCCACGGCAGGAAGGAGAATTGTTACTGCGATTCACTTTTGGTAAATGCATTGCCCTTGTGCCTGACAGTTGTGCCAGGACGTCAGCTGTATTTTGAACCAAAAAGCTTGTTCTCTGCCATTTCAGCGAAATACTTTTTCCCCACAGATGAGGTATCTGCTCTTCTCCAGAGTGCCGCCATGTCTGCCGCTGAGAGTATTTGTCAGTTTGTCCTCAGAAGACTGACCATGCGTGAGCTTCAGACTGTGAGTGTCCCCAGGAGCCTGTCCTTCCAGGCTCTACTTGGGTTTTTTTCTAGCAGTCCCTGTATTAAACTGAAAGAAAAATTAGTGTGATAATTTCTCTAGAAGCAGGTTTAGGAAGTGAGAGAAACACAGTCTGTGGGGTCGTCTGGTTCCTATTCCATGTGTGTTACTGTGACCGGGGCAAGTTACATAGTTCTTCTGAGCCTCAGTTTCCTCATCTTCAAAGTAACACATCTGTCTGCTTCCCAGGGCATAGAACGTTTCAGAGGACAGGACAGGTTGGCAGCACTGTGCACATACATTGCCTGTGTGGAGGTCCTGCCTTCATTTCTGCTTGGGCTTTGCACTGTCTGTGGTCTTTTCTTTCTTGTGTTCTCAGCCTGACCTTTCCTCCAGGATTCTTTCATAAGCGTGTCAGCAAAGTTAGAGCCACACACACATACAAAAGTGTTCTCAGTTCCACAGCTCCCTCTGGCCCCATTTCCACCCTTTTGTGAGTTGGCCCGACTGGGATCTGCCTTTATCGCCCACGTGATACAGAGAGGGCTCTTGCTGAGTTTGTTGGTGGCTCTTTCTCACAGCCCTAATGGCTATGTCCCAGACTGTGTGTACTGACTCTGACCCCATAGTCCTGAGCCACTGCCTCTTCTTAGCTCCTATGACCTCATCTCCTTGAATGTCCTCTTCCTCTGGCTTTAGTTCCTTTTCTTCATGCAGCATCTGTTCCCTGCTGTCGGCCTTTCTGCCTTTGGAGTTTGGCATTGTCCTTTTTCTGCCTCCCTCTCCTCTCCTCAAGGTCTCTCCCTGTTCTCCTGGCATCAGTTATACTCTGTTCCCGCCCTCCACCTTCTGCCTCAACCTCTGAGCTAAAACCTTCAGCCCAAACCCCTGGCTGTCTGATTGGAGACTCCCGTTGTTACTCCTGCAGTGTCCCCAGGTCCTTTCCTGAAGGCAACAGCATTGTCTTAAGCCCAGAACTTAAGTCCAGAGCTCCTTGGCTCCTCTGTCCTCTTTCCCTGTGTTCAGTTTGTCACCCCCTGCTATAACTGTTTCCTTCTGTTTGTACATCATTTCTGCCCAGTGAAGTGCCAGGTGGGTGCTCAGAAAAATAGATTTAGATGAACGCGTTAGTTTCTGTATGCCTTAGGCCTCTACAGTACAGTACCAATCTGCTGGTATCCTGGTAGTAATTAAGGTCACTGCTAAGTGCTAGTCCCTTTGTCACTTCTGTCACTTAGTTCTTTCAAAGGCCCTGTGTTGGGTAGGTATCACTATCTCCACTCTGTAGGTGAGAGGTCAAGTAACTTGCCCTGGGTCACAGAACCAGTGAATGGCATAGCCAGCTAGAACCTAGTTCTACAGTACCTGACTTTACTAGTCAGAAGGATGTGGGTTTGTTCTGTGCCTCCCACCTAGTAGCTCTGAGGTGTCTGGCAAGTCGTTCAATTTCTCCAAAACTTTTTTTTTTTAACTTTGAAAGCAGGACATTTATCTTCCTTGTGAGGATTGATAGTTGTAAAACCAAGTGGCAGTTACTGTAATTATTATTGGTGCCATTTATGTAGGAATTGATGAAACAGCTTCTGCCTTATGGGCCTTCATGATGGGTATGGGGGGGATAGAAACTTGATGTGAAATGTGCCAGAACTGGGCTGAATGAGAACACAGGAGTATGAAAAGCATGTCCACAGGCCTGTGGAGAGCTCGTGCTTGGGGGAGTGACTCTCTCTCCTCTGAGTCTTGTTAGCACTTCAAACAAACTGGCTGTTTCCTGCCTGAGCTCTCACAGGTGCGTGAGGTACATCAGGAAATTAATGGACCTTGCTTCTCCCTTTCATGCTTTGATGTCTGTCTTAGGTTGCAGATCTGGATCGTTGCCATTTATACCTCACGCTGTTAACTGAGCTCACAAACCTCCATCTGAAGGTGGGGTGGAAAAGGGGCAACTCCATCTGCAGAGTTCTTCCTCCTTTGAAAAATGCATCTATGCGGCATCTTCAAGAGATGGAAAGTGGACAGGTAATCCTCGTAGCTCCCAGGCTCATGGTGATGTTGAAGAAGGCATCAGGGAAAACAGATTCAGTTGTTACATGCACAGTATCTTGAAATCGCAGAAAGTAGTGCTGAAATTTAACTTTTAAAATTGTGCCTACAGGTAGTAATGCTGTGGTTAGGATTGTGATCCCTGTCATACTGTTAAACATCAGAAGTACGACTTCAGATTTAAAAAATTTTTTTTTCTTTTTTGAGACAGAGTTTTGCTATGCAGTTCAGGCTGGCTTTGAACTCACTTCGTAGCTCAGAGTGGCCTCAAACTTGCAGCGATCCTCCTGCCTCAGCCTCCAAAATGCTGGGATTACAAGTGTGCACCACAGACTTAAAAATATTTAGGTGCAGACAGAGGACTTTTACTAGGTCTTCTGCCCATACATGTCCAGTATAGGACCCTTACATCGCCTGATATCAGAGCCCTCCAGCCTCAGCCTCCTGCCCGAGTTTCCACCCTCATCTGCTGTCCTTTGTCCTCCTTTCCCCAGTGCCTTACCCTGCAGGCCACCATAGATAGGTTTTCTGTCACAGCACCTGTGTGTGGCTTTTTGTTCCCTGTGGCCCATCGGAAATCACTTTTCTCTAGAGGTCTTCTTGGATTAGGGGCTCATTGTTCATTTTCCTGTTGCTGTTTATGCCTCCACTGTGATGTTTATTTCCTTCTTTCAGGAGTAATTTTTGTGTATATGTCTCCACCCAGTGACAACACCTGACAGTATTTCTTAAACATCACACAGAAAGTTCTAGCAGTGAAGAGAGCAGGCTTTAGAGACTTCTGGGCTTGGACCGTGGCTTTATCCTTGCCTACTGTGTGACCAAGGGAAAATTACACAAGCTCCTTGCCTCCCTGTAGTACAGCTATAGGATGTAGATTATAGGGTTGATGTGAAAAAAATTATGGCAAGCCCACACATGGTGAATCTGAACAGTCCTTGGCATGTAGGAAATCCTCAGTAAACACTAGCTATTTTCACTTTGTACTTGCTATGTATTAATGCAGTTGAACTGATCATAGCCTTAATGCATCTGAGCCACTGATAAAAACAAAGAACTGACTTGATTGCTTTAATAATTTAATGTGTAAAGAAAGTAGTTTTCTCTATAGCTGTCCAAAAGGAAATGGTATGGAAGACTAACATTTCAGGGTGTTTGCAACTCAGAAGCAGAAAGGGGAAGTCCTAATTTTATAATTAGTATCATTGTAATCATAAGCGTCCTAGTCTGTTAGTCTATTAGTGGTGTAGAAGAACGTGGTTTGTCTCAAGTGTAGAATAAATTCACAGATGTTCTACAATCATTCTTAAAAGTTGGCTTTTTTTTATACTTCACTGAACCATCATTGGCTCAAAGTAACACTAACATAGGCAGAGTTGGTTTGTAAAATTGGTCTGTAGAGATCTGTAGATTTGGGGTGGGAAGAGCCTGCGCTGGGAGGTAGAAGGTCCCTTCAGTAGAGTGGTGGCTGCTGGCAGCATGGGCGAGAGCCACTGTAGTGCCTGCTGTGCTCCTGGCTGCTTCTTTTTTTTGTTTTTGGCACCGGGAATCAAACTCATGACCTCAGGCTTCCAAGGCAAGCACTTATGCTACTCAGCTATATCCCCAGGCCACTCCTGGCTTCTTAACATTTGAACCCAGGCTGTTACTGGCCACACAGTGTTCCCACAGTAGCGTGCCAAGTGCCTTACATGAAGCAGCCCACTATGTAATATGTAATCCTGTAAGTAGATTCTGCGACTGGCCCCATTTTGCAGATGAGAGGAAAACAAAGGTGTAGTGTGGCTGCACTCCTGGTGGTGGTAGTGTGGGTCAGTGTTCAGGCCTAGCTCGGAGGGGCCCAGTTCCAGCTCTTTCCTGCTGTGCCTGGCTCACAAGAAGGAATTATGTGTAACTTGGAGCCTTTTTTTTTTTTTTTTGGTAACGTTCACTGTCCAGTAAAATTAGACTCCACCCTGGGAGTGTTGCATATGAGCAGGCAAAGCTTGGGACATGATTACGCACACATAGCTGGTCAGTCATGCACGAGCTTTAGTGTTCCTCTACCAGCAGAGATCAGGTTATCTTTTTAATCTGAGATGCTGAGTTCTTATTGCCATTTTAAATCTACTCATTGCCCATCTGTAGAGACATGGAAAAACTGAACTACATGTGTTGTATTTCCTTTTCTTTCCCCTGATGGCCAAAGGAAAAAGCATATGTTTTTCCTGAGGTGTCTTTCCTGATGGGAACTTTGCTTATGTGAAATAAAACAATGCTCTGTGTCCCTACAGGAGCCGACTCTTGGTGATCAGATCCAGAGGGTAGTCAGTATGGCCACTTTGGCCACAGTATATGAGGCCGGTGCCCTGCAGCCTGCGTCAGAGCTGGATTCCCTCGATGCTGAGCCCATGGACAGGTTTCTATCTGCTTTTCCATTTAATCAGACGCTAGAGAAGCCCCGTGCCAAGGAGCAGGGCCACTGTGCTCACCCCATGGAGAGCAGCAGGTAGGCAAGAGGTGTCTTTTTTGCTGAGGGCTGGAAATCCAGTTTGGTTGTCATTGGGATAACTGGAGATTGCCCAGCAATGCTGATGGCACTGTGAAGTTTGGGAGATGAGGCTACATTTAGGACCAAAATGTATAATCATGTTGTTCATCTCTTCTGTTGAAATCTGACTTGACTACATGTAGTTTTCAAGAATAATTGAGGATTGGGAAAATAACTACTTTTAGGATAGTTGAAAATTGAGGTTTATAGAGTTTCTTATGTTTTGTCAGATAATTTGATAGTGACCATTTATACCTGTTGCCTTAGTCAGTCTTTCGTTCCTGCAACAGAACACTTGAAGCTAGGTAATTCACAAAGAAAAGTCTGGAGACTGGAAAGGTCAAGAGCATTATGCCAGTATCTTCTTGAATTCATGCTACTTCACCACATGGCAGAAAAATCGAAAGAGCAAATAGGTGTATGGGGATGTGAGAATGTGACGGGCAGCCTTGCTAAGTAACAGGTCACTCTTGGTCACTAAGAGTGACCAGTTCCTTGAGAGTGAGAACTCACTACCGTAGGAGAAGCATGAATCTGTTCCTGACAGCTGTGACCCGTACTAGATACCCTGGCTTCCCAGGCCCCTCCAGCACTGTACCAAGGAGTGAAGCCAAGCAAGGGGCAGAGCTGCCATGTAGTTTTTTAGGGGATAAACTGAATTTAAACCACAGCCTCTGGTTCCCCTTTATGAGAATAGAGACAAGTTGAGGGGGTGGTGTAGTAACTTTATTTTTTGCTTCAGTTTCTTTGAAGAGTCATCCTCCCAAGGATGGGGGAGAGTGGTTGCACAGTACATCCATGATCAGTGGGTCTGTCTCTCCTTCCTGTTGGAAAAATACCACTCCCTGGTTCCGGCCGCACATGGCACCGTTCCAGAGCCCTTGCTGCCCGCCATCCAGATGCCAGCTCAGACTCTGCGATCTGCACTGGACGCCCTTTCCATCCTCCCTTCTGAGCAGGTCCTGCCCGTGTTCCGTTGCATGAAGGTGCTGGTCCCCAAGGTGAGATGCCATGCAACATGAATTGAGGACCAAGAGAGGAATGGCAAACTGGAATGAAGTGACTAGGTGTATCTTTCCTTTTCTCCTGCCAGCTCCTGACATCCGCTGAATCACTCTGTATAGAGTCTTTTGACATGGCCTGGAACATTATATCTTCTTTAAGCAACACTCAGCTAACATTCTGGCCTAATTTAAAGGCTTTTGTTCAGTTTGTTTTTGATAACAAAGTTCTCACCATTGCTGCCAAAATCAAGAGCCAGGCGTATTTCAAAATAAAAGAGGTAACTTATTTTTCTTTTCAGTTTGTATGACCTGTGGCATGGGGGAAGAAGAGACTTAAATTCATAAGCAGATATTAGATTTGCAAAAATCTAAGCCAACACCTTCTTGAGCCTAAGGGGTCATGAGTAGGAATGAAAAGAGAAGGCACAGATTAAGAGCCAGTGACGCACATCTGTCTCACTAACATTTTATTTGTTCATACAATGTTTAAAATTTTGAATGTTAGTTGGCAACTGGAGAATTGGGAAATTTGACTGGGTGTGGTGGTAATCCCATATCCTTGTAAACCCAGCTACTTGGGAGGCTGAAGCAGGAGGATTGCAAGTTTAAGGCCAATCTGGGCAATGTAGTGAGACCCTATCTCAAAATAAAAAGGACTGAGAGTGCAGCTCAGAGATACAGTGCTTGCCTAACATATGTGAGGCTCCAGGTTCAATCTCAGCACTTAAAAAATATCCGGAAATCTAGATGAAAATCTGTATTTTCCCACCCTAGAGAGATTGGTAATGGGGCCATACTGACCTTCCTGTAGGCCCACGGGTCCTGGCAGCATGGGGGTGGCATATGCTGCCCTTTGTTTTCTCCATAGTTGGTCTGGGTTCTCCCAGAAACTGAAAGCAGGTGTTTCGTGCCCTTTGTCTCTGCACCTGTGCTGGGGTTTCTTATGTGGAGAAACAGTCCTCCGAGTGTAATCCTTACTAGATTGTTCTGGGAGTGGGGCAGAGCCCAGTGCCGGACGCTGGCCTAGCACATGCAAGGCCCTGGCTTCCACCCGCAGCACCTCAAAAGAAAAAAATCTTTAGGCTATTGCGGTATAGTCAGCCCTCGATATCTGTAGATTTTGAATCTTCAGATTCTACCAACTATAGGTCAAAAGTATTTGAAAAAAGAATTCCCTGTGTACTGAACATGTACAGACTTTTTTTGATCATTATGCCCTGAACAATATAGTGCAGTGACATTGTATAATGACTATTTACATGAAATTGACATTGTATTAGGCATTATGAGTCATCGAGGGATGATTTAGAGTATACAGAAGTGCATAGGTCATATGCACACTGTGCTGCTTCATATAAGGGACTTACTTGCACTTCTGCATGCAGATGTCAGTCTCCGAAGGGCATCCAGGAAGCACCTCCCCACACCCCCACACTCCCATAGATGCTAAGGGACTGCTGTTTTTGGATTTGCAGCCACACATACAGTAGGAAACGTAAGCTGAGGGAATTCCACCAGGCCTGGGAATCCAGTCGTGCCTCCTGTCCCCAGGGAAGTTGAAGGTCAGGTCCTCTGATTATCTCATGGTCTGTGCCTCTCTGGTTCTTTTCTGCCCCACAGTAGAACCAGGTCCCCACTTGGAGACGTAGTCTGTGTTGCCTCAGCCAGCGGGGACTGTATGGAATGTAAAGAAATTCATGTGAGGTGTTTTTACCCTTTTCTTCTACTACCTTAGGCAGTTCTCTAGAAAAGTTGTGGGTGAATATCACTATTGGTAACATTTTATTACTGAGGTGAAAAAGTACCGTTCTGTGATTACTGAGCATCTTGCAAAATTATCGTAATGAATTTTAAATTTTTTAAAGACTATTCATGATTTTGTTGAAACTGCCATTTGAAGTCGTTGAAGTACATTTTTAGCAACATTAATTTTTTAAAAGTAAATTGTTCAAAGGATAAAATGGCCATTGTATTTCATTCCAGATTATGTATAAGATAATCGAAATGTCTGCCATAAAAACTGGAGTCTTCAATACACTGATTAGTTACTGCTGCCAGTCTTGGATAGTGTCTGACTCCAAGGGATCTTTATCCAGTGCCAAAAATTACAGTGAACTTGTCCTGGAGGCTTGTATATTTGGAACCGTGTTTAGGCGCGATCAGAGGTAAAAACACCATTATTTCATGTTGTCGTAACTTACATTAAATACCTATCTGGGTAGAATTATGTCCTTGCTTTGAGGCTTCAAACAGAAGACTGTAAAGTGTGAATGACTTGAGCACTTTCATTTTTTTTTCCTCATCTAATCCTGTTCTTCTCAAATTTTTTATGGAAAGACTTATTCAGGACATACAAACCTTCATAGAAAATCTTGGACAGGAATGTGCAGCAAATGTCATTATGGAAAAGTAAGTGTGATGGGTTTATTTTATCTTGACAAACATGAAATTTTCCACATTTAACATTGTACAACAAATATTCTGTTTTTGTCCAGTTTAATATTTACAAGTGACAAATACTGTAATCTATTTTAAGATATTGACCAAGCCCTCAGAAGTGTATTAGAAATCATATCCCCCTGGGCTGGGATGTAGCTCGGTGGTTAAGCACGTTCCTAGCATGTGCAAGGCCCTAGGTTCCATCCCCAGCACCTTAACCACCACCACCCCCCCTGCTCCACCAAAAATAATTGTATTCCTTGCTAATATTTTTTTTTCACATCTTTTAGTATTTATTGAAGTTCAGTGAATGTTGGTAAATGTATTGCGAAGCCTTGTATAAATAAGGAAGTGTCTTTGCAGAGCATAAACTCATACCCTCCTCTGTGGGGAGGTGCTCTTCAACACACATGCCTTATGCTTCAGTTCTTTCTTGGGATGGGACTTACAAATCAAATTCACCATTAATGAGTCAGTAGGCTATGCACAAAAATAGAATCACTCTGAAAAGGGGTCCTATTTTTTTTCCAAATTTAAACCTCTTACTGAAGCATAGTTGACAGATAAGAAGCTGTATGTATACAACTTGAGGAGTTTGGGGAGAGACTGTAAGGGTTTGATTTCTAGAATAAGACTACTCTTATTCTAACCTTTCTACTAATTTTTCGGAGCTTGTGAGATATCTTTTTCAAGTTTTACTTTTTTCACTTAGCGTTCAAAACTATATTTTTATGAACATGATTAAAAGTGTATCATTCTCTCTGATTCGAGTTGAGAATAATAAGTAATTTCAATCAGTGGTCATAGAAGTTTTACTATTCTGAGTGCTATGTCTTAAATTGTCTGCCAATCTTTATTAAATACATACACTATTTTTATTGTTGCTGTTAAGTTTTTTTTCTTATCTGGTTTAGTGTAGCAATAAAAGAAATTTTCTAGTGATTGGTTGTGAAATACTTTCATTTCTACTAGACAGATGCTTTGTTGTTAAAGTGATCTTTATTCACATCACAGAAGTTGAAATTTGGAAATAATCGATCATTTTTCTTAATTTATCTTTCCACATTTGGCTGCTGGAAATGCTGGGATATTCAGGGCACACAGTGCTTCCAGATTTGCCCCCCTATTTAGAGGAAGTGCATTTGAGTATGTAATAAAGACGGTGTTGGGTAGTTTCCCTGAGTGAGCAGGTAGCTGCTTTGTCCTCTTCAGGACAAAGCACACCAGTAGTGTGTATGTTGTTTTTCCAGAAATGTGGATGCATTTGTGCTCACTTATACTTTCTGAACTCACTGTCCTTTTAATATGGTCAATTGTTATCTTCTGTATTCTAAATTTTAAAATATTGACATTATATTAGCTTTCCCACTGCTGAGACACAGTATCATACACCCACAATTTAAAGGAGGAGAGGTTTAATTGGCTCATGTATTAAGGGAATCCAGTCTATGGTCAGCTGGCTACAAGGCAGAAATGTGATAGCTCAAGGGAACAGTGCCTGAGAGGAAAGAACCAGACATAGACCCTAAGGTCACACCACCATGATCCACCCATACAACCCAAGGAGTGTGCTCCACCAGTCCCCTGGGCAGATCCCAAACCAACTAAGCTGACATGATCACGCTTAACCGCCACAGTCATTAAGTATGGGCCTACATAATCTTTGCTTGTTGGTGGGCAGGTGTGGTATTTGTTACAGTATTTTTGAAATTAGTTTCTATGTATTTTTCCATTTTCAAAATATATGAAGGTATAAAATAAATTCATTTTATGTTTTTTAGTACTAAAAGAGAAGACTATTACGTGAGAATCTGTGCTGTCAAATTCTTGTGTTTATTAGATGGCTCAAACGCATCCCACAAGTTGTTTGCAGAAGATATTGCAGTGAAGCTATTGGATAAAGTAAATATGTTTTATTTTACTTTAAATTGTCTTTAATTTTAATGGGTCAAAGTCCAGCATTTGTTCGTCATGCTGCTAGAATATGTATTTCTAAATATTTTTTAGGAAAACATGAAGTCTGTATTCTCTATTTTTAATCATGTGTTAATTAGTAACTGTCCAACTTGGCTTCCTTGTGCCCTCTGACCCTCAGCCCGTGTATGCCTAAACCTTGTGTTTACAGTGCTGCATGCATACAAACAGCATAAATAGGTCAGCATTTGGGAAGCTCCATAGGGTGAAAAGCTGATTGCTATGACTTCAGAGTCCATGAAAAGTCACCTCAGGATTTGCTTCTGATGTAGCATGTTGTATCTATATCTGGTTTATGATGATTACCTGAGATTGATGAAACTTTCTTTCCAAAAGAAAACATGCATGCATATGACATTCAGAATTGAATTCAGGACCTTCACAGTGAGCTACACCCAGCCTTTTTAAAAATTCTGAAACAAAATAAAGTCTCACTAAGTCACTATGTTCATCAGGCTGGGCTTGAACTTGCGGTTTTCCTGCCTCAGCCGCTCAGGGTTCTGAAATTACAGGTATGCACCAACATGCCTGTCACGAAAGTGTTTTATTGGTGCCTTCCCAGTGAGTAGAAATTAAAGTCGGGGAACAGGGTATTCCATCAGAGGGATTCAAAATTCACATGGCAGTGTTCAGTTGGCTGTTGATTTAAGGGTCAGGGGGGGCCTCTTTACAATGTAACATTTGGGTGATGCATTGTCAGGAGGTAGAAGAACACCAGGCAGAATGGTGTGCAGAGCCAAGTGAGGAAAGTACTGTGTGCAGGAAAGGAGCTGTTGGTGCCTTTCCTGTCTCCTGCCATTGATTGCTGACAAAGGTGTTTGGGGAAGAAGTACTGGAATGGGAGCCTAAGCATAAAGGAGTGAGAAGAAAAGGGGGTTGAGCAAGTGGAGACGGTGCATGTGGCACTCTTAGGAGTTTGCTCTGAGAATGAAGTAGGTGGGGCGGCCCCTGGCAGGACAAGAGGTAAGGAAGATATGCAGTAACTAGCGCCTGTGAGTGTGTTGAAGGAACCTGCCCAGTAGGCAGGGAAGATTATAGTTACAGGGAGACCAGCATCACACACAGGCGGTGTCCCCTAGCAGTCACCTCACATCCACTGGGATGGCTGCAGAGAACAACTGTGAGAACAGCAAGTGTTGGTGGGGAGAGACATCTTGGGACCCTCCTTTGTTGCTGGTGTGTTATAAAATGGTGCTGCCACTTTGGAAAACAGATGTGGGAAAAAAGAAATGACAGTATGGTGCAACAATTCTGAGAGTCTTCTCTGGGCCAGCAGTGCCAGTATCTCTCAGGAGCCTGTTAGGATTGCAGATCTCTAGTCCTGGCCCCCACCTGAGGAATCTGAATCTGGGGATTGCGGTCCCCTTTTACATACCTGTACTAGGACTCTAAAGCCCAGTGGAGCCCTGAATTTCAGGCCCCGAGGTGGCTCAGAAGCAGGAAATTTCTCCATGGCTTTGAGATGGGTGAAGATAGGATTGTGCTCTTGAAGAGAGGGTGGGGATTTTTCTACCAGTGCATCTTGGATTGGGAGACTCAGAAAAGTAGGATAGAGTTGACAGACTAACAGAGAAAGTAAAGATTTTTCTAGATATTGAGTCCAGTGAGTGGAACAAGGACAGGAGGGAAGGATTTGAGCTGACAGGGAATCTTAGCACTTCATTGTGAGGACTGGGGCTGTAACTCCTAAAGCCCAAGGCCAGGCTTCCTGAGAGGTTTGTTGAGGAGCAGGTGCTGCTTTTGAATGTGGGAGGATCCACCCTCATGGTGTCATATTGTTACAGTGAGCCTGAGCAACATAGGAAATCTGAAAGTGCCTGCTTTAGAAGATAGCTTCCTCAAATACAATACAAACAATGATAGAGAAAGTTGTGAGAGTCTAGTCATTGTCAGGTATCTTAAATAAGCATTTGTTTGGGATCTCATGGTGTTTTATACACTCTCAGATGTGTAGGTTGGGCTTACAGGAGGAGAGTCAGAGGGGAAAATGGTCCCCATCGACAGAAATGGCTTTGGAGATGATAGATGACTTTTCCACCTTGAAGCCATTTGAAAGTACAAATACTTAGCACCAAGAATTATGATGACAGAAGTCAGATTTGAGGGCTTGGGTTGTGGCTCAGTGGTAAGGCCCTAGTTTCTGTCCTCAGCGCTGCAAAACAACCTCATGGCTGGGTGAGTTTAGGCTGCACAGACCATTAAAGTCTGTAGAGCACTGTGGTAATGTGGAGAGGCTTCGTGCTGCCATCTTGTGTCTAGAGACATCATTACACTGGCATTTCCTGTGATGGCTGCATTTGTAGCAAAATTACTCCAAATGGGAACAGGAGAGAGGGGCATAACATGAGAAGTGCCTATATTGGTACATTGTAATATCTGGTAACTCTCCCAGTTACCTGTGATCTGTATCTCCCAGTTTTATGGTTTCTTTTCTAATTTTACAAGAAGAAATTTAGAAGCAACAAAATTCAATAATTTGAAAGGGGATTTTTAAGTGTAATTCCTTATCTTATGCTACTACGTGCTTTTGGAGAAACGAAAGACCACCATACCCATTTTTAGCCTTTTAACTTTGAAATGGCTGATTTTGTTCCTGCCCCTCCAGGATGAGTTGGTTTTCAAGACCAGAACTCGCTACTACGAGAATTCTCTCCAGCACCGCGTGAAGAACCGGATATGGCAGACTCTGCTCATACTTTTTCCCAGCTTTGACCAGGTGTGACATTTATTACACTTCTACCCTTAGAAGCCTTAATGTTTCCATATGAGTAAACTGCTTTATAAAAACTGTCATGCGCTTTTTTAAAATTCAAAAGGTAATGGTGCTTAAAATGTATACCTCAGTGTATAAAAAGGCAGTTATTGAGAATATTTCAGTAGAATGCTAAGGAAGTTAGGTGTTGTAGAAATAAATTGGAAGTTGGTTTACCTGGTCTTGCTTCGTGTTTTTTCTTCAGTGTTTTAATGTGACATTGTAAACAATTAAAAGATTCTATGCCATTTGATCAGAAAACATAAACCCTGAACTCCTCATTTCCCATAGCACAGTCATTGTGGAGCATTATGTTTTGGATTATCTGTTTTCCACAACCAGAAGAATTACAGTGTGGGGTAGGCTACGTCATTCCATGGTGGATTTTTTTGCCCTTGATCTCATGTGTACAGTGGCCACACACACTAGTTCAGCAAAGGGCAGCCTCTTTCTCCACGATAGAGTTCCTGTTTCCACAGTTCCCATTTCTTTCCCCTAGGAAGCAGAGAATACTAGAGTGGACTCTGTCTGACCTCCTCCCCACCTTGCTCCTGTAAAGAAAATGTTCTTCATGATGAGGAAGTAACAGTGACACATGCAATTTTAAAGACAAGTTTTGAAAGCACAAAGATTCTTTCACACTTCAAATTTCCTACATCCTTCTCACCCTCTTTCAATATGAGGGATTTTTAAAAATATATCAGCCTCTTTTTTACTATAATTTTATGAAACGTTGGGTTCTATGAGATAGAACACAGCAGAGGCAGTGTGTGTGCGTATATTTGTGTAAATGTCAGAGGACAGCTAAAAGAGCTGTTTCAAATTTAAAAAACACTATATATAATACACTTAAAATACTTTTTTAAAAAAACATTCTAGAAATGCTTTACCGGCTTACCGAGAGTGTATTTTCTTGATTCCCACAGAGCAGGCTAATACTGGAGGGTGGTCGTCAGCACTCACAGGGCCTGGAAGAAAGACTGAAACTAGCACATCTGTCGTGGAGAGCACTGCTGAATGTCTCCAATTGTTATACCTTACGGTTCCACTTAATCTTCTGAATAGTCTTTCAACGCCAGGCATAAATATTCCCCTTTATACGTGAGAACACTGCAGAGAGCTGAGGTTACCTGCCCATGAGGCACATCGCAAGGGGATGCTGGCGGTGGTCTTGAAAGTCAAGTTGAATGCCAGAGTCCATGCTCCTTGTTTTAAGGCGTAAAATGAGGTTTTTTCCTCTGTTTCACATGGTACAAGTTCTATTAAGGCAGATTTTTCTTCTTTAAAGTAAAGAAATAAACATGTTATTTGTTAATATGCTTATTTAAATAGATAATTATTCTTTGCCTGCTAGTTAGATGTGATCCATTACTCAGAGGGAAGTACACTTTTGAACAGAAGTGTAGGGGTGAAAGGATGATTCTGGAGCCCCAAGGCTTGGCCAGAGAACGGCAGTGTCACAAGGCTGGAGAGACCCTAGGGCCTGAGGAAGCGCAGCCTGCAGACTGTGACTTTGTTTTCCTTGTTGATGTTGGCTTCTGAGCTGCTCTGGTTTCAGAGGTTAAGATTTGCGTCTGAATCCTGCTACTTCATAACTATGTGGCTCTGAGAAAATTATTCAGCTTCTTTGAATCTTTTCCTCCCCCAGTAAAGGCACAGATGATGATAATGTTCCTGAGAGGATTGATGCCCAAATAAATCATACAGTACTAATTTCAGTCAACACATTTTAGGGTCTTTGCATGGAGAGTTGTGGATTTGGTAACTTACATAAAACTAAGCCTTTTAATAATTATGGGGAATTTTTAAAAGCTAAAATTAATAACAGTTTTGTGAACTTTATTTTTCTCAGAATTTCTTGAATGGAATTATTGACAAGATTTTTCATGCTGGTTTCACCAACAATCAAGCTTCCATAAAATATTTTATAGAATGGATTATTATATTAATTCTTCATAAATTCCCTCAATTTCTTCCAAAGTTCTGGGATTGCTTTTCTTATGTAAGTAAAAGAGACTTTTAATGTTTTTCTAAACTCTGATTTCGACTGTAGTTGTTTTTGGCTGTCAATTTCCCTGATGTGTTGACATTGTAAATTATGTTTGCAAGTTCTGAAGTAACTTAGGACATGGAAATATCTAGTTTACCTTGACTATATGATAGTTTTTATTTGAGGGCTGTTCTATTTCCAACAAAACAAAGGTAGAAAGGCTTTTGTTATTCAGCAGTAATCAAGTCTTCATTTGAACTTAGAATTAAGAATGATGAGGAGCTAAATGCATTCCTTAATTAAAAAAAAATTCTTTAGTAGGGAAATTTCAAGCAAGACTGAAGCAGAACAGAGGGGAACCCCATCACCACTTCTGTCCTAGTGTCACCTGTGCCCTGCCTGCACTGGCTAACGCTATTTCTTACGCCTTGAAAATAACTTGAGGAACTGATCTAAGATTGGTGATGGAGGCCATAACGCAGGCTCCCTGCCTTCCGTGTTCCATTCCCCTTCTGCACTGAGTCATGCTGATCATCTTGGCTTTTTTTTTCTTTTTCTCTGTGTATTTGTGTTGGGGAGTACTGGGGAATTGAATCTAAGACCTTCATACTCTTTTCACTCTTTATTTTGAGATGGAATTTCACTAAATTGCTGAGGCTGGGCTCAGACCTAAGAGCTAACCGCCTTAGGTTCTTAGGGTACTGGGATTGCAGGTGTGCACCACCATGCCATCTGGTCCCCCTTTCTGTTGCTATACCCCTCCCCAGCAGTGCTGTGAACAACAGTGTTTGTGATTCCCAGTGCCGACTGCCCTGGCAGGCACTGCTGTTCCACGTGTCCTGCAGGGATGGGACTTTGGTTTTCATTCCCTTGTGTGTCATCTCAGCTGTAACGGCAAGAACAGTTCTGTTGGCCGGCATGGTCCTCACGTCTTGTCCCGTGCAGGCTGGCTGGGTCTCTGCATGGTGGTTTGTGGTTCCAGGATGGAGCACTCAGGTGGGCTTGTCCCCAAGTGCAGAGTCGTCCACTGGCTTTGGCATGCTTGAAGGTCTCATTGGCCCAAAAAGTCATATGAGCAGCCCTCCCAAAGTGGGTGGGGCCTGAATATTTGGATACTGTGGCCTCTTTTTTCTTTTCTTTTTTTTTTTTCACTGTACAAGGATAGAACTCTCAGCCTGCACACTGAGCTTCATCTCCAGCTTTATCTCCATCACCCTTTTTAAAATTATTATTGATTTTTTTTTTTTTTTTTTTAATTTTGAGTCAGGGTCTTACTAAATTGCTAAGGCTGGGGCTGGAACTTATAATCTTCCTCCTTAACCTCCCACAGTGCTGTGTTTCTAGCCTTTTTAATTTTTCTGATTTCTCACTAGTCCTTTTGTACCCAGGCCACTGTGCATGCTGTGTCCACTGCTGGAAGCATGTCTTCCTCCTCTTCTGGATGGCTTTCTCTTGTTCATATGTTGTTGCTAATGGACATGCCTCCCTGAGGATTTGGATCCGCTTATTTGAGGTTCCCTATAGCTCATAAATCATACTTCCCATAGCTAGAACTTTAATCTTCTTGATTTTTGCTTTCCTCCCCACAAGGTCCTTAGTTCCTTAAAAGCAGGGACTTCCGAGTACCCATCTTGTGGTTAGATAAAGGAGCCCATCATCTCCCAGGTCCTCCTGCCTGAGGTCTCTTTCCTGGCCTGTCTGTCTGGCACCCCTCAGTTTCTTATCACTACAGTAGTAGATGACTCCAAATCACTGTCACTGAGGACGTTTCCAGAGTCCAGTTTACCACTCATTCATAGCTTTTTGTCATCGCTTTTAAAGTTTTCCATGGTATGATTCTGTTTCCCTTTGGAGCCTTAGTCCTGTCCTGCCATACTGCCATGTCACCTCTTCTGCCTCTGCCTCACACTGCCTCTGTGTCTCTTGTCCCGTCCTTTTCACCTGTCCCTTCCTTCCTGCTCCCCTGTGCCCACTGCTTCTCCACCCTATCCTGCCTGTCCCATAGCACTTGCCTCCTCTGAAGGGCATGTGCCCTGGGCTCTGCCACTTGCTGTGGGTGTCTGTAACTAAATCACTTGGTGCTTTACGACACCTCCTACGTGCTGTGTTCCTTGGCACTTGGTTCTGGGGGACCCCTCCTTCCTTGCTTCTGATCCTGTGGCCCCATACAGGGAAGAAGCTGCTTCCCTCCTCTGTGCTCCCAGAGTCTGGCATGGTGCTATGCAGTGCTGAGCTCACAGCAGCCCAGGAATTAAAATCTGCCTATCTAATTCTCTTTCAGGGTGAAGAAAAACTTAAAACAAGCATTTGTACATTTTTATCAGTTTTGTCCCATTTTGGCATCATCATTCAAAATATTCCAGACAAGGTGAGTTTGAATTGTTTATATAAAAAGTTTAAACTTGAGTTTCAAAAGATGAATTATATGTGTTTGTACCACTTTTGGTGTTGCAGTGTGGCGCAGGCTGGCCTTAAACTCAAAGCAATCCTCCCGCCTCAACCTCGTTAGTGCTGGGATTAGAGGCGTGCGCCACCACGCCCAGCATCACATTTATTACTCCTCATAGGCGTGTGCACAGAGAGTCTTGCTGACTTTGTAGGCACATTAATAGGTGACTGCCATGGATATAAATGATTTTTAATTTTATGCAAATATTAGAGATTCTTTACATAGGATTTCCCTTACTTCCTTTCTTGACTGAATGGGAGCTATTTACAAATGCTCGTGGAGACCATCTTATGGTAGGGGGACTTCAGGAAGGACTCTTCTGGGGAGAAGATTGTAAACAAGCCTGAAAGAGGTGAGCAAGGAGACCCTAGGTCAGGAGTCAGCAGGGGAAGTCACCCAGATGCAGATGGTCTTGTTGGGCCAAGGTCGGAGCCACGGCACAGAATAAAGGCAGGGGAAGGCCCCAGATAGGTTGTCCAATAGCCAAGAGGCCTTCTGTAGACACATGGTGTTGGGGACAGCAGTCCCTTCACTAGCAGTGCTCAGTTCCCTCTCTTCACATTCCGTACCTAATGTGAAAATCAGGGTGATGACACCACCCTGTAAAGTTGTGCACCCTCAAAATAGTGCATGTAAAATGGTGTGTGTGACATTTGTGGTGTGTAAGCTATGGTTTTGGGGAGCAGTTGCTCTGCTGAGATGTCACGTGTACACTGTGACATTGCGAAGGATTACAGCATGTTAGTAATTTGTTATTTACATTCCCTTTTGCCTCTCTTCTTAGTTTTCATTTTGTCCTCTTAAGAGGCTTGGTTATCATAGTTGACTTGCCCACCTGTTGGCTGCTGGAATATAACTTTACTCTTAGCATATGTCTTCAGAAATTATGTTGTTTCCTCTGCCACCCTTGGAATTTTTCGTAGATCTTCCCTCCAGCCAAGTCAATCTGTTTTCCTTTGTCTGTATTTCCTTAGTGTCCTCTAATGTGCCCTTGTTCTCCATGTCCCTCCCCTTCCTACATGTGGTCCTCACTAACCTGTTGCAGGGAGACGTGATGATCACAGCTGTTCATCACATGGGATGGCTGCTTGAGGTGTGATTGAAAATACAGTGAACATTTAAAGTAAAAAATTCAAATTTTATTAGAGTAAAAGGCACATTGCCATCAGTTCCCCTCAAAATACTCAGCCTCACTTTGAACAGAGCTCCTCATTTTTATCACTTTCTGAAGCAGTTCTGGGTGTCGTCTTTCATGCCTTTACAAGGTGTGAACAAACATAGTGACTGTGGCTGCTGAGTGCCATCCAAAGGAAAGGCAACCTCGTAAAAAACATTGTGGTGTCTTTATTCACTGGACCTGGCACTGTGCACCTTCTGGCTCTTCCCCATGGTCAAAATGACCATAAAAGGTGAATGTTTTGAATAAATTCATGACAGAGACAGCCATGACAGCACAACTGAAGTCATGAAAGAAAACTTCCAGAAAGTGGCAAGAATGATGGGATGTGTTTGAAGGGAAGGAGGATTTTGAGGGCACTAATAGCAATAGGTCTTTTACTCTAATACATTTTTAAATTTAAACATTTACTGTATTTTTCTGTTAGATCTTATACATGTAATGTTGTGGGGGGTGTGTGTGTGTCTCTGTCTGTTGGTGTCCCAGCACTGATAAACTGGTAAGACAGTGGCTTTGGAGAAATAAATGTCAGTGACTTGTTGAGTGAAGGAATGAAAGAAAGGATTATTGATATTTGTGTTTTATTCTCAGAGAAACTGTGGGTAATTAAATTGTGTTACTAACCATGCAGATTTCCTGGTAAATGGTTCTATGGATATGGCGGTTGTTGATTGGTCAGGAGAAACTAACCATGGGACTCTGGGCCAGGTGCAGGCCATTTAGCATTTCTAGATGACCTGTGGAGGGAGGCCTTTGGTGGGAATATCATGTAGCTTCTGACATTCATTTGGTGTTTTAAAGTCATGGGATTTTAAAAGTTGGAGAGTATTAATCCATTAGATCACAGGAGAAGACCACAGGCAGTATTAAGCATTTTGTTCTCCTCATCTCTGACTTTGCTGCCACTCTTCAGTGCTGTGGCCCAATGCCACCACTGAGAAAGAAGTAGCTCAGAAACTAGTGACAAGCAGGAAGACAGCATTGTGTGGTGTCTTGCTTAGGAGCACATCATGGGCCACCAAAAGTGGGGCTTCTGCCGTGCAGTTCTAACTTTTTCAGCCCAGGTTGGTAATCAGAGATAGGGCCACATTTCTAGAACACAGGCAGGAGCTGTCTCAGTGAGCATCAAAGCTCTCCCCTCAAGTCTGCCTGGGGATGGGAGCAGGGGGTGCACTGTGGCAAGGATGAACACAGGGGCCCAGAGAACCTGTTTTTATTTCTGAGAAAATTGGGGATACCAATAACTCACTGTTGGGGAGAAATAAGTGCTGCCAGCCAGCCAGCGATGTGAGCCATGCCCCACCACACAGTACAGCTCAAGTACAGTGTTCGTGTCCTCTCTCTGCAGACCCCACTTCTGAAGCAGGCCGTCCTCATCGCACTGCAGTGGTGTCTCAGCCACAACTTCAGTGTTCGGCTGTATGCTCTTGTCGCTCTGAAGAAAGTCTGGGACGTATGCAAAGCACTAGGTGTTGAAGAGTGTAATGCGTGGACCACTGTCATCGAGCGCAGTCTCAGCCAAGCAGAGAGCATGCAGGGAACAGGGTAAGGGCAACTCACAAAGCCCAGAGGACCAGGAGGGCTGGCCCCTCATCCTTGTGCACTGATGCGCTGTTACACCACACCTTGGGTTAGACTGGAGCAATCAGCTCGCTCTTCAGTACACACACTAGTGGCCTTTCCAGGAACTTTATTGCTCTTTATCCTCAATCCTTTATTTCACAAGTGACTTTTTGCATACTATACTGTTGGTGTGAATCTTAAGTGTGTAGCAGGTGTCTCCTGTCTCCTTCCTCTGCTGCTTTCAGATGCCTGTGAGGCTGCAGAATCGGACCTCAGAGACTTCAGAGTGCTCCCCTTCCTTGGCTGGCCCACTTCTAGCTCCAGGCTTCCCTTTCTTTGGAAGGCGAGCTCTTCATTCCCTACACGCTCCTTCGCCCCAATGTGCAGTGGTAGGCAGGCAGATTTTGCTGCTGCTGAAGCTAGTGTGCGTGGTCCAGTGTTCTGTAAAGCCCCTGTGACTGGACATGAACCTCTCCTTGGTCCTGCTCCTGTCATCCCTTGGCTGGACATGGAGTCCTAAATCTTTCTGTTTCTTTGTCTCCAAAGTATTGTTTTGTTTCATAGCTTTTTATTACGATCAGTTATCATCCAGGAGTGCTGGGACTTTTATAAATTTGAGACCCAGGTAACATCAGTCAACATGAAAGGTTTTTCTTGGGATGGTCAGAGAAGGACCACTAATTTATGTGCACAAACAGGAAAGGTTGGAAGCAGCATATTAGGCCAGTGAAACAGTTGGGAAACCTAATAACATTGTAGGGGGTTTTGCTATGACCATCCAGTGAGAACCTGGTACAAACAAGTTTTTTGAGTTATGAGTCTGCCTTTATCACAAACTAGTGTACAACCCTCCGTCTCCTTAATTCTCCCCTGCAACCTCTCCACTGGTACTGGGGATTAAGGCCAAGGCCTTCACACTGAGCTACATTACCAGCCTTTTTCTGAGATAGGGTCTTGCTGAGTTGTCCAGGCTGGGCTTGAACTTGCAGTCCTCTTGCCTCAGCCTCCCCAAGCACTGGAATCACAGGCATGTTAGCTTTCTTCCCTGACTCTTCACAGGTGGGTAGACGGAAGGCATTTGGATGATGGTGGGTTCCTCAAGATTAAATCAATCAATTCAGCAAACTTCAGGACTGAAAACTTCTCCCTGGGATAGCACAGGAGAAGGGAGTAGAGGAGACGGAGCGGGGCTGGGGGTTAGGTTAGTATAGATGAGGGGCAGAGTGCAAAGGTGTGCATATACTCAAGTGCACAAACACGCGTGCACACATGTGTCTGTGACTGTGTGTATGCATGTACATTTTGCCTGGGATCCCTAATTTCCCAGGAAAAACTTGGCAACTAGAATTCTTGATCTTTGTAAAAGACCTTCGGTGTGTCATTTCTTCTGAATATGCCTGTATTTATTGTTTTAGATCTTTGGTAAATGTGTGGCTGAGTTTCTTTACCTGTGTGGATTTGGACATTAGTATTTTTCAGGATCACATTTGCATTAACATGTTGTAATCCAAATTCAAGCTACGAGAGTTCCTAATCATATAAATTTTCTGGGCTGGGAATGTAACTCAGTGTTGGAGGACTTAGATAGTATGCAGGAGTCTCTGGGTTTGACAAAGTTCTATAGCAAAGAGAGTGAAATTTTGTGTCACCTTTCGTAATACATTGATCTTAAGAGTTATGCATACATATATCTAGTATTAAATCTACACAGTTCTGCATTCCCTTTGAATTGTGCAGAACCTCTTTAAGATAGCCGATTCCCATTACCAGTTATTTAATCACTTATCTATGCGTCTTGCCATACTCTTCATTCTTAGGAATGCCAAGAAGAATTGGCAACGCATCCAAGAGCATTTCTTTTTTGCAGCATTTCATCCACTGGAGGATTACTGTCTGGAGGTGAGCATTGCCTGGCACCTATAAAACCCATAGTGTATCAAAACCCTGTTGCTGCCTTTCTCCTGCAGTTGTGAGTGGTGATGATCTGGTTACTTCTTTCTGCTTGCTTGCAAACATCACCTTAACACTGTAAAGTTCTGAGTTTGACTTTGTGACTTTATGCAGATGACTTGCTTATAGTTCACTCTTCAGTGGTGAAAATTGGCTCGTCACTTTCACTTTCTATTTCTCAGGCAGTGTCTGGCTTGTAAATCCTGGAAGGGAATATTTAACTCTAAACAGAAATCAGGACAGATTTCTAAAAGGAGATGAGGGAGAACATTTGTGCAGGTGAGATTTTACTGTACTGAAGCCCACTGTTAATGAAGGAACAAAAAAACTACTCTTCTGTTAATGGCATTTTTATGTTCTGGGGAATAAAAATTGTGCGGTAAATGATTGATACACCACTCCCGGATTATAACTGAAAAACCATAAACACATTTATTATAGTTAATATAACTTAGTAAATACTAAAGTTTCCGTGAACCAAAATTTTTCCCTTTAATAATGTACTGCCTTTACATTCAAATCATTTGATCTAGGACTGTTTCCTGTAAAGATTTGTAGCTTTGGCTACTGGGCATAGCACTTTTTAATTTATAAGCTGACTGTTAAAAAAATGTTTATATGTATAGTGAGATATGCATCACGGAAAACTAATGTGTGTTTTTCTGCTGCTTCATTGCCAGTATGATTTTATTAGGGTAAAAAAATTAGAATTTTTCACATGTTCTGATACGCAGTGCTCTGTGGGTCTCAGCACCCACAGTGCTGTCTCTGCACTTTCCTGTGGGACCCTCCAGTAACTCTAACAGTCATCAGCTTCTCCCTTGCCAATTTCCAGCAGTAGTCAATCCTTGGCCCCTCTCTTTACCTCACCCCTGCCTCTTCCCATGTCTTCTGTGTATTTCCTTCTCTGTTAATGATACAAGTCAGAACTGTATGAGCAAAGTAATGAATGGGAGTTAATGGTTCTCAAGAACAAAATGTCTGGAGCTATACTGAGGACCCGTGTGATAAGCATTTAGTTGTGGACATTATGCATCTTTAAGTTTGCACAAGCAGTGGCTAGTCCAGAAGATACACGTCATTCTAAAACTTTCAAAAGCACATACTATGAACTTAACATTTCATTTTTAAATTGCCTTTGGCTTGGGCTTTCTTTTGCACCTTCTCCTGGCTGATCATCCTCTGGTTCTTGTTTCGCAGGTAAGGAGGGTTGCAGAGGTCATGACCATTCTCACAGTGTGTCGCCCGTGTTGTCACTGGGGCACCATCACATGCTGTTTTAATCTGTTACCCTTTCTTACCAGTGAGGGTCTTGAAGCCACGAAAGGCTACGTGGCTTGCCTTGTATCATACAGCGAATTACACAGTCCAGCCGGAATCCAGATCCTAAATGTATCTAAAATGGCAGTGAGAGTGAAAGATGTGGCATCAAAGAACTTGAACTTTACCCCTTATGGAGGAATGTGGTTATCAGTAAACTGCTTTTCTCCACATGTTGTCCCTTACTGGTAATGACTGATTCTAAAGCACTCCTTGTTCATATTAAGACCACGGTGGTTTATTATGTAAAGTACCACAACAGAAGATACGCTTGTTTGAAGGGATTCCCTAATTGATTCCCCTAATTTCTTAGAGAAAATAAGAAGCGTTGAGGATTGCCACACGGTGTAAATGAGAGTATGTAATTTGACCAGATATGATGGTTTGGGAGAATATATCAGTAGTAATAAATTGTGCAATTAACATGTTACATAATTCCTTTTTTGCAAGAAAAAAATACAAATTGTACAATTCTCTTTTCAGACGATATTTTACATCCTTCCACGGCTTTCAGGCGTGATCGAAGAGGAATGGGTTGCTGCTGGTAAATTTGCCAGCTTCACAGACATCCCTTGTAACACAGGATCCCAGTGGTACTTCTCCCACACTCCGCTTAGGGAGCTCAGTCCGGGGGACTGGTCTCAGCAGGACGTAGGTAAGGAGAAGCTTCAGTTTATTTTCCCTCTTGTCAACTTGTGATACTTACTGATTTCAGAACTAGAAATAGATAGAACCTTAGGGCAAACAGGCAGTTGATAACGTCACTTTTTCATTGACATGGGCTCTGTGTGACTCTCCACTCAGAAAACAGCCCATAAAAAGCGGTCTGAGTCTCCACTCAGACCATAGCTTTGGCCACAACTTTTAAGTTGGAAGTTAGCTTTGCTATGAAAACCGTATGGTTTGATCTGTTTTACACAAAGCTAATCATTTCTTTTTCTTTAACACAGTACTGTTAATATTATTTTTTTTTGGGGGGGGGGCTTTTTGTTTCTTTGGTTTTTGTTTTTTGTTGTTGTTTGTTTTTTTCTTCTGGTCCCAGGAATTGAACTCACAACCTTGTGCTTGCCCGGCAGGTGCTGTGCCACTGAGCTAAATCCCCAGCCCCTGCTTTTTTGTATATTTCTGTAAAAATATAAATTTTTAAAAGGGCCAAACTGTGAAATCTCATTTGCCAGTGCTGTCAGGAATGGGGCTCTTTCTGGGTCTGCTTGCTTGTCATTTCTCCATGCCCTGTTCCTTCAGCCCCATTGTGTGTCTTTCCTTACAGATAAAGGAGTTGAGTCTTTCCCGGGCATCCTCCAGCACCCACTTTGTCCCTGTGTTGCTTTCTCCAGCTCCTTTACAGCAAGCTGCCCAAAATGCCCAGGGCCAGGTCCTCGCCCTGCTTCCAAGGTCACAGCTAACCTCAGTGGCCATGTGGTCACAGCCTCCATTCCTATCAGTTCCTCCCTCGCCCCTGTGCCTTCCTCCAGTTCTCCTAACCTGTGGTTCCCATTCATATGGCTTCAGATGCTCAGCAGTGCCTTACACGCTCCTGTCAGCCTCCACGTGGACTCTGTTCCCTCTCCTGCCCCTCTTCTTCATTCGGGCTCTTCTTGCTCCCTTGAGTTTTCTCATTTGTCCTTCACATCAGCGGTCGCTAAACTTCTGATGCTTGGAAAACTTGTTAAAATTGCAGATTTCGCACACGCACATGTACGTGCACCCCTCGGTTTTAATTCAGTATCTCTGAGGGAGAATTGTGAAAATGTGATTTTTATCCAGCACTGTAGATGGTCCCCTAGTGCACACTGAGGTAGTGGCTTGAATTTATTGATTCAACAAAGATTGGTTGGTCATCTCCTTTGTGCTGGGCGTGAGACCAAGTCCCCACCCTCATGCAGCTTTCATTCTTACAGAGGTGGCAGCTATAAAGAAACATAATACAGTACAATGTCAAGCAGTAAAAGTGCTATGAAAAATAATAAAGCCGGGTAAGGAGAACAGAAAGACCTTTGTAAGGAGCTGACGTCAAGCAGAGACCATGATGAATTGAGTGCAAGGCAGGCAAAGTCTGAAGAAGAACTTTCCTGCAGAAAGATCAAGGCAAAAGACAGTGACAGGAGGCCCGACCTTGCTCAGGGTGGCCAGGTAGACGGGAGTGGGAAGAGGGATTACGGAGGCAGACAGACGCAGGGCGAGGAAAGCAGGGGTTGTCTGGCTGGTTAACAGGCTGACCAGGTCTTTGTTTCATTGTGGTGGTTTTAGTAGGGAAAGGTAAGCCACAGTTGGTTTCTCTGCTGAGGCTTACCCACAGGTTCCCCAGAAGGCTGTCACCAGTGCCACCATCTGCCTTTCCACAGCTCTCCTAAGCACTTTCACTGATTTCCGTGCTTGCGCCCCACTGTGGTACACTTCCAAAACCTTCTCTCTCACCCAGTCTCTTGCCTAAGCTAACTGGGCTTCTGCAGCTGGGTGTTTCATAAGCTCTTTACACTTACCACAGCCAAACTGGATTCAGGTCTTTGTTTAAACCTGCTTCCTGTCTCCTTTATTGATGGTGTCACCTGTCATCAAAATAGTCATTCTACTCCTGTTTCCTCTGACATATCCAAACCACACCAGTCTTGGTGATCCAGCTTCTCCTCCCACCGTCTGCACTGGTTGCATGGACGTAATTCAGACTGCCACTGTCTTTACCTGACGAGTGCAGAAGCCAGTATATCCTCTGCATTGGGTCAAAGAGGGATTTCTCTAAAACACCATCAGTGCTGACGTCTCCCCTCTGTGAAGGCTTCATGGCCCCTCTCCTTAGAATAAATCCTGTATCATTATATGCAGAGCCCTTCTGATGTGGGCCATGCTGTCTCCTCTGTTCTGCCACAGGCTGAGAGCTACTCCAGAAGACTTGCTGCTGCCCAAGTCATTTTCCTCACGCCTCGAGCTTGTGCCTGTGCTGCGTCTGCTGTCTCCTGAGAACTAGGACCTTGCTCCCTCAGGCCTTGTGGGCCATATCTTTGTTCCTCCCTCCCATAGACATTCATCATTCCCCTGTGTGACACACTCACACTCTCAGGGTGTTGTAGTGCCTGTGTCCAGTTAACAAGGATCCTTGATGACTGGCAAATAGGTTAGAGTAGGACAGAGTTGGGAGGACCTTGCACCTTCTGGAGGACCTGAAAATAGCATCTCAGTCCTGCATCACAGAGATCAGGCCTTGCAGATAGATGGCTTAATACAGGCTGTGGCTCATCAGTCTAGTCAAGAGATACTCTTTTATAGGATATCCTTCATTTTAGAAAAGTTACCCCAAGTACTAGTAAAATAACTGAAAATAAAGGTTTCTCTTATACTAAGGGATATATTTCCATAAAAATTCTAAGCTGATATACTGTTGTTTATAAGATATCATTAGTTACCTCCAAGAAAAAAATGTTAACTAGGATACCCTTGATTCTAAATTGCTTCCCAGTTTTGGATATGCTAAAATGGGAAAAAATGTGCATCTTCTACTTTTATCAAATCTCATCATATATTGCCTAGAACTGAAATTGAAAACTAAAAATTACTATTAAAAACGGTGGTTGTGTTTGAATCCAACATTCTTGAGTTAATGTGTAATTAAATAAATCTCATTGAAAACTCTCCAAAATACATACAGATGTATAGATAAATATATGGAGAGAGAAGGCTCAGAAATTGTTTACATGTGGGATTATTTTATTTTTCCTTCCCAAGGTTCTAACATGGGTGAAGCAGCCAGCCAGTCAGAGTGGGTTGATGTCCAGAAAAAGATCATCCCTTGGAGACACGAGGGCCCCAGTGCAGACCTGGGGCTTGAATTTCAGGATCGTGCGGCTAGACTCGGAAAGTCAGTTAGTAGACTGATTGTGGTGGCCTCACTCATCGACAAACCAACCAATTTAGGAGGTAAAATCACAGTTTTCCAGGGAGCATAAAACCTGGTGATGGTGGGTATTTTCCATCAGTCCACTGCCTTTTCTGGCCATCTTCCCCATTCAGCCCTCCCTGAGAGCCTCCAAGGGATGTGTGAGACATGGTAGGATTGGTCAGCACCTCAGTGGGGACAGTTCTGGTAAGTTGAGCTTCTCTGTGCAGGCTTGTGCCGGACCTGTGAGGTGTTTGGAGCTGCAGCACTTGTCCTGGGCAATCTGCAGTGTGTCAGTGACAAGCAGTTTCAGCACCTCAGTGTCTCTGCAGAACAGTGGCTTCCTCTGGTGGAAGTGAGTGGAAAGTAATTATTAAAGCTTTATTTGCTTTAGGCCTTCATGTATTAGGCCTTTTGCAGTAATTTTTAAAAATCCAACCTTAATAGTTTAAAAGTAAAATTCAGGCCTGTTCGTTCTTTTTATTGTATTTGTTTTATTTTTAGAAATGTCATTATTCTAATAGTCTTGTAATAAAATGTGCCCTTTTACAGCTCACTGTTGATTTAGGGATAATTCTTGTAAATGTATGTGAAGCTCAGGAATTCTTTTTGATAGCATATGATTATTGTTTCCCTTTTTAAAAAGCATTTTAAAAATAAATTTAGCTTTAGTAAATGTTTTTTGTTAACTCTTATTTTACTCCAGGCGGGTCTATAACTAAATGATTTAACACTCTGCTCTTTGTAAACTAACATTAAGGTGAAACCAGCTCAGCTAATTGATTATCTGCAGCTGAAGAAAGCAGAAGGTTACACTGTCATTGGGGTGGAGCAGACAGCCAGAAGTTCTGACCTGGCCCAGTACTGCTTTCCTGAGAAGTCGCTCCTCCTGCTGGGGTGAGGAAAGCCCCTGACCTCACAGTCTGTCCTCTGAGCCCCGCCCAGAAAATGTTAGCTATTTTGTGATTTACCCAGACCCCTGACATCACACTCACACTTTTCCTTTAGCATATAACATTTATGGAAACCTCTCTCCCCAGTTTTCCTTTTACTTCACCTGTCTGGGATGGAGCAGGTAAACACAGAACTGACCGTTAAGTCTCTGTCACAGACTTATTTCCTGGAACCAACTTGTTAATTTCTTTTAGTAACGTTCAGAATGTCTAAGAACAGATTTATTACAGGAAAACTAACGTCTGTCCCTCATCTTCCTTCTTCAGCAATGAACGTGAAGGAATTCCAGCAAACCTGATGCAGCATTTGGATGTGTGTGTGGAGATCCCGCAGCAGGGCGTCATCCGCTCACTGAACGTGCACGTGAGCGGAGCTCTGCTCATCTGGGAGTACACCAGGCAGCAGCTGCTCAAGCGTGCAGACCCGTCCTGACGCTCGTGCCGTACCTGAGATGAGTCATGGTGCTACTGAGACTGCTTTTTACAACTCTGTGGACTAATGAAATAGATTCTGAAATTTACTGGGATGATTTGTATTGTTTTCTTGCATTTTAATGCCAAAACTTTCTCCTGTGCCTTAAAAAGATGACTATATATTGTGATAAACACTTAGGGCTAAATTGTGTTATTGCTTCTTTAATAAAATGTTTTAAGCAGTTTTTGAGATAATGCAATATGTTTTAAAAATACACTTTCCCTCCTAGAAACACTAGTATCATCAGGAATATGGGCTGCTAAGAGGAGGCAGAACTAAAGCAGCTATGAGCTGAGACGTGCACTCTTCAGTTTAAGGAAGCAGGGCTGGGGCAGGTGCTGAATGGAAAGCAGCACTCTTTCTGCTGTGCACTCTTGAGAACAGCTTGGCAAGATGCCCAGCCAGCTTCCCTGCAAAGCTCGAGCTCTGCTCCTATGCTTTATTTTTAAAGCCAAACTAGGCCATCAGCAGTTATTACAAAATTTCGCAGACACCTTTTTTCAGAGAGATCAGATCATGGTTATAAATAATCTCTATTTTGATAACTATAACCCTGGACCCAAGGGAATTGACTATTCCTGTATGTCATTAGAACTGAGAATGAAACCCATGGTTGTTGATTTTCTCTTTTGATTGTTTTTAATGGTAACTGTTTACTGCCATCCAGCAATGAACATCAGTTATGTCACGGTCCCTTTTAGTATTACTGAAATTACAGAGTTCATTACCTATGTGTTTATTTTTTTCTTCTGTATGTTTATTTTGAAATACTTTGCAGAGGTATATAGACATTGAACACACAATTTCCATGTACTTTGATAGGCCACCTTCAATGTGATCTTACATAGCTGTGGTACATTTATCAAAATTAGGAAATTAGGCTGATAATAGTGCACGTCACCAAACTGCAGACTTTACTCATATTTCTTATTTTCCCACTAATGTCTTCTTTCCCAGTCTAGGGTTAGAGACCACACTGCTAGTCATTGTGTCCCCTTAGCCTCCTCTGGTGTCTGACAGTCCTTTCTTATCTTTCATAATCCAGATACTTTTGAAGTATACTGGCCAACTATTTTGTAATTGCTCTGTTCCCAGAGATAAGTTTTAAGGAAGAATGACAAGTGAAGGCGCTTCTCACATCATGGTGGGTGTACACAGCAGGCTCACTATCTCCATCCTTTGGTGAAGGCAGTGTTTGCCACTCTTCTCTGTATACTATTGCTCTCTCGTCACTGTCTGTTAAAAGTGAGTCATTCAGCACAGCCTACCCTCTGTCATAGGAAAGTAAGCTCCCTTTTGGAGGGAAGGATATCAAAGAGTTGGGGGATAGCTGCCAAGACTGTCTCAGGAACTGGTGAGAGTTTTGGAGGGACACTTGAGGCTGTGCAGCCTTACATTTTGTCCATTGACTCTAGCATTTATCAGGGGATTCTGCCTATAGTACCTATGACTGGTGTTTGTTCTAATAGTAATATTCCTATTTCTTCTGTATTTATTAGAATTCCTCTGTAAAAACTTTCTCTGTTCAGTCATCTTTTTAACCAGTGTGGATAACTGGCACTGTCATGATATTTGCCACTCTTTGTAGCATTTCCTTACTTTTTGACACATGATACCACGTGTTATTTTTCTTACCTTAGGGTAGCAGCAGACACTTCTCCAAAGAGCCTTGACCTCATTTATTGGAGAATTGTGTTTAAAATCAAGATCTATAATACCAGCACTCTGAGAGGCTGAGGCAGGACGATCTCAAGTTTGAGCCCAGCCTCAACAACTTAGTAAGATTGGGTCTCAAAATTAACAAGGGCTGGGGGTGTAATTCAGTGCAAAGATCTTGGGTTCAACCCCTAATACCACAAAAAATAGGGGCTAGATGTGCTTGCTGCCCCTGCCTGACCGGTGGCTATAGGCCACGAGGAGCTAGAGCACCTCACATTTGCCACCCTATGACTATCCATAGATCATTCTGTATTACCAGAGTGGAGACAAGTGAACATGATGTGAGTTCTTAGTGATAATAGACATTGATCCCAGCACTGGAATTTAAACATTCTCCTTTTGCTTATTTTTAGCTCCTTATTCTGACATAAAACCTAGTTCTCACTGCTTATATTTACTTACATGTTCTACTCTTATATAAACAGCTTCAGAACTGTTAAGCTTGTGAAATTTAGCACCCTGTGTACAGTTCTTTTGCTTCTAGCCATATAGAATCCAGTCAAAACACTTGTTATTTAGGTCACTCCCTTGCTTGCCCACTACTTTCAGTGAGGTTATGTCATGTAGTTACAATATGGGTAGACATATTCTTCACAATCCACACTCTACCAGAATTTTCATCACCCTGGCAGATTTTAATGTGCAGTCTTTATAGCACAGTGTAGGTTTTATCAAATGCATACTCAGTCCACCCACTACCCACTACCACAATGCCATAAAGAACAATTTTATCACCCTAAAAATTCATTTGTCATTCCTTCATGATCACCATCTCCCCAGGTACTGGCAGTGATCTTTTTTTGTCCTATAGTTGTGCTTTTTCAAGTCCTATCAATCAAAGCATTTATGCAGCCTTTTGGGTTGGGCTTGTTTCACACAGCAAAATACATTCAGGGTTCATCTGTTACTGCATGAATCTGAGGTTCATTTCTAGTTTATTCCATCATACAGATGCATCAGTTTGCCTATTCATTTCTCTGTTGTGGGTGTCTGGGTGATTTCTAGTTTTTGGTGATTACGCATAAAGCTGCTTTGGATAAGCATTTGTGTACAGATTTAGTTTTCAGTTCATTTGGTGAAATATCTAGAAGTGGGAGTGCTGGGTCATAAATCAGTATACGTTTAACTCTAACCACTGTTCTCCTAGGGGCTTTTCTAGCTTGAATACCTACCACAGTAAGAATGATTGTTGCTGCGTATCCTTGTCAGCACTCAGTAATGTCAGCTTTTTAACTGAAGCCATTCCAATAGGTGTATAGTAATATAAGTATCTACTTGTATTAGTTTCCATTATTCTTATATTTAGTAATTGAGGATCTTTATATGTATTTGTTTCCCACTGTATATCTTCTTTCAATAAGTACCTATGTGTATAATATGCTAACTTTTCAAATAAGGGGTTTTTTGTTAAGAGTTATAAGAGCTGGGCATGATGGTGCACACCCTAAGTCCCAACACTCCAGGAGGCTGAGGCAGAATGATTGCAAATTTGAGCCCAGCCCAGGAAATTTAAGTGACTAAGATTTTGTATCAAAATAAAAAATAAATGAAGAGTTGGGGATGTAGCTCAGTGGGAAAGCCCCAAGTTGAATCCCTAATACTGTGAAAAAAAAAAAATTTTGAGTTCTTTATTCTAGATATAAGTTCTTGAAATATGTGATTTGCATATATTTTTTTCTTTGGAGTTTTCTTAAAGGTCATCATAACATTTCTGAATAGTGCCAGTTTCATTTTTTCCTTTCCAATCTATATGCTTATTTCTTTTTTGCCTTAGTATTCTAGCTAGAATCCAGTCATTTTTCTCACTCTTCAGTATGAATATAGGCTGTGGGTTTTTAATAGTTTCTATTATTTAACCTGAATATTTCAAGTTCAAATTTTTTCCAACCTCATTTTGTAGTTTGTCTAAAAATGCTACTCCCTGGAACACACAACTTGCTTGTTTCAGTTTTTTATCTACAATATATCTACTGTAAATAATATTTGCCTATGACTCAGCTTCTACTGCCAAAAAGAAAAAAATGTGTTTTTATAATAGGATTTAAATTTTTTTTCTTAAAACAGGTTTCTTACTAAATTAAAACTGAACATACTTAATACCATTTTATTTCTGTTCTTCACCGTCTGAATGATGGGATCTTCTGTTACTTGATCATTTCACTTATTAACTATTGTACACAGGGAGCAAGTATCGGTGTGTACCATGATTCAAATACTGTCCCAGAACCAACAAAGCATTTCTGAATGTCCAGAAAAAATAATTTCAACCTTCGTGAAAAGTTAAGAACAGCCTATGAATTTGCAGGTGATTTTGAAGGCTGGAATTGTCCTGCTTCAAATTTCTCCTTGAATTTTAAGTAGTCTCTTCTTTTATCAAAATATTTTATCTGTTGAGAAAAAAGTTTAACATCAGGGCATGTTCTGCATCTTACATGAGCAAAAGCACAGATTTAAATGTAACAAATTATGAATACAAATTATATAGACATAAAGAAATGATTTATATTCTTGAACCATGCTGCATCAGGGATCTAGTGAATGACCCTCTAAGGCAGCCCGGTGAGTCCTGGCCCTGTGTGGGTGACAGGTCCTGTTGAGTATTTGAATGACCCAGGAACCTTCTCCCAGGAAATCAATCTGTGGGCACCCTGGACCCTCTCAGTAAGCTGAATCCACAGAGCTCTTACATGGCTCAGAGTCTTCAGATTTAGACACTGAACTATTTTTGTAAGTTCAATACACCTTGTAATTTATCTGCCCTCACATTTTTATGTCTGTCTCATCCACAGACACATTTATGGACAGAGACACATACTTAAAAACTATAAACTATGATATGAGTAGGTAAACTGATGGTAAAATACCAGGTTGTCTGGAGTTTTAGAGGGATGAGGTGGGGTTGAGACAGGGTCTGGCTACGTAGTTCAGACTGGACTTGAACTCACTAGGTAGCCTAGGCTGGCCTCAAATTTGTGGTGATCCTCCTGCCTCAGTTTCCCAAGTGCCAGGATTATAGGTGTGCGCCACCATGCCCAGCAACTTCAGTATTTTAAGGACTTGATTTTTTTTATATCCATATGGAATTTAAAGAATCTTAAAGTAACCTAACTTGATATGGTAATATCGTAAAAGTAGAAAATGAGCATTGTGCCAGCCATGAAACTGCTGCAGCATCTGTATCTGACTTGCTGTACACTCCAGGCAAAGGCAAAACGTCCACATTTGCATTGGTGGAGTAGAAAATAATAGTTCTTTTATTAAAAGCCTTTCTTAGACCTTACTATCCCAGTGGGGCTTACAGGTAAAAGTGAGCATGGACTGAGAATGTGGACGTCTGCCCTGCTCTGCATCCAGGTGGATAACACACCAAAAAAGCACATGAAAAGTCAGTGCTTCTCCAAGGGATGCACTGCAGCGACCACAAGTCCAGCTGGACTCCTTCACGGAGTCATTTTTACTGCTTTCTTATTCACTGAGAAACCCTATTCTCTAAAATAACAGTTGGTCAGAAGTTTGCTCTTTGAAGTTCACCAGTAAGATCCTCTTCTGCCTAGGGGATCTAAGGCATCTTCACCAAGAGGCAGGCTCAGTCCTCAACACAGGTGCAGGACCTGAATTATGGATTTTTGAACATGACATTCGATCTTTAACTTCGTCAAACATAAAATCCTGGGCCCACTTCTCAATCCGGAGCTGTTAAGGATCTATGTATACACAGCTCTGCTTTGCTCTCAGGTGGTCAAAACACTGCTCCATTTGGGAGTCTGAGGCAGAATGACTGCAAATTTGAGCCCAGCCTGGATAACTCAGTGAGACAGTAAAACAAAACGGGGAGGCAAGGCTTCAGCTACGTAACTACTGAGAGCACAGGCCAACAGGAGCGAAGTACTGACACTGAAGGGGCCGAGCTGATGAAGTAAGCGAGCTAAATCATGGACCGAGAAAGAGGCCTGCAGAAAACAACACTGGTGGCTTTGAAAGGTGCTATCGCTGTCACACACTGCAGAAGTCCACTGCAGCATCTCTTCTTTGTTAAAGTGCCCTAAAACCGTCATAACTCCAGGATGATTTCAGTCTCCACATGTTGCTCCTGCCCGTAGGTGGCCTCTAGGTTCCTTGATCTCTTCGATGACCTTGTCCCCCAACCTCGGTTAGGGCGAGCGCGGTGCACTTTCACCGTGTAGCCGGAGGCCAGCCCCGCCTGGCGTGACTTACCCACTGCTGGGGACAGCTGGACTCGAAGGACTTCCTCAGCTGTTGGCAGCGCGATGCGTCCTCGGCGCTCTCTTCGAGGCACCGCCAGTAGTCGTCGCGGGCTCCCCAGCAGACCTGCCTCTCCTTCATGGAGGGGGCTGCCATTCCTGCTGGGAGCCAGCTGTGGGACAAACCGACATGTGACCTTAAAAATGACCCTGCCAAGTGAGCAAAAGCCAAGGGAAGGGGCTGTCATCCCCTCCTTTTCTTAAGCCATGCTACGGGAGCGCCTGGAGAGCTGCACCAAGTCCCTCCAGCGGCGCAGCGGCGACGTTCCTCGGCTCCCCTCCCGACCAGCCCCACGCGCGCCGACCTGAGCGCCGCTCGCGGCTTCCCGAGGGTCCTGCGGCCCACCAAAGCGCGGGAGAGAGCGTAAGGCCAGGTCCTGGCGCCGCAAGTTGGGGCACAGAGCCCACCAGGTGACTCACGCGGGGAGCCGGCCGGCGGGCCTTGGATGAACCCTTCCGGGTTACCGTTGGCTGAGGAGGCGGGACTTCCGGCCCGGCGTAGTACCCGTCCGGAGGATTTCCGGCCTGTGGATTTCCGAGCTGCGGCGCTGGGTGTGGAAGCAGAGAGCGGGTGGGCACGTTGGCGCTCCGCGGTCTCCGAGTTGCTGGCGTCTGGGTTCTCTAGGAGCAGTACCTCGCGACTGTGACTTGCCGGCACTTGAGAGAGGCAGGCAAGAGCTTCGCCGCGAGTTGGAGACCGGCCTACCTAGTGAGGTCAGCGCCAGCCTGAACTCCGTAATAAGACCTTACTTCACAAAACAAAAGGAGTGGCGAGTGCGGAACGCGACGGGGGAGGAAAGGAGAGCAGGGCTGAGGGCTGTAGAGCCAAGGCGGGTCGCCTCGCTGCCTCCATTAGAGAAAAGGAGGAGCGCCCGGCCCCAGGAAGAGGCCGTGAGGCCCCGGACGGGGGTGGGAAGTGACAAGTTGAGGACCGAGGGAGTTAGGGCAGCGGGAAAATAAATGTTTCCAGTGCGTAGTCTCAACTAGGACGTTTTTTCTTCCTGGACATTAAGGTATCTTAAGGCTTGAAAAATAAACCACTTCAATTGGTACTGTATATTTTTGCAGTCTATGAAATACACGTTCATTCTGGGGGATTGGTACATATATGTAACATCCTAATCGTTTTCGATCCCTTTCCCACCCTCCAAAAAGTCTGTCTTTCTTTCACTCTATTTGTCATTGAGTTTCTCATCTGAGAGAAGCCGCTCAGTATTTAACTTTTGGTGTCTGACTTAGTTCACTTGACGGTCTCAAGATCTATCCATTTTCTTGCAAATGACCCACATTTATCCTTTATGGCGTAATAAAATTTCGTCGTGCATATATACCACATTATCTGTGTGTCCGTTGATGAGCATCTTGGCTGCTTCAAATAGTTCAAGGATGTTGCTTTTAATATATGAGTTTATATCTCAGCAGGATTCTTAAGAGGATTTGAGTGAAGGTCTGTCTTAAAGAGTTTACATCTGCTCCATCAGCTGGTCTTGTTGAAGTTCTCTGTGCTAGCATAACTCGGGAGCAGTTCACAGCTCTGCACCCAGTGCTGGTGTTTGATCCTATGTATTCATCTTGCGCAGGTTTTCACGGTGGTGATGTGAAGCTCAGCACCACCAAACATTTTTCTACAGTATAAGATGTAGTTCCCAACAGTTAATGGACTCGGATAGTGGATGGGTCTAGCTTTACCAGAGCCAGCACTTAATTACACTGTGTTTATCAAGGTCAGTTTATACAAAGATAAACATCATTTAAGTATAACTGACAGGATATAAAAGGAATGAAAATACAATCTCAGATGACTTCTGAGTTGAAAAATGAAGTATATTTTAAGTTTAAAATGTATAGATACCTAATGATAAAATACATAGTCGTGTGCCACAAAACCATGTTTTCATCAGTGACTGCATATACAACTATGGTTCCATATCACTATCTTTTGTTTAAGTGTGCTCTATGATGGAGAAAGTTCTCACAATGATAAACTCAACTAATGAGGCATTTCTCAGAGTGTATCCCCATGGCTAAGCAACAAAGTGATGCATGACTGTATGAGAAACAAAGTTAAACTTGATAGAATTAAGAGAAAAAATAAATGGTCATATGGGGTGATTAACAGGTCTTTCTCAGCAACAGAAAAATTTAAGATTCTGAAAATTTAAGTGACATGATTTATAAACTTGACTTAATGGATATTCAGAAAAACACAACTGGAATCAGAATATCCATTGTTTAAAGCGTGTCACCATGTCATGCTTTATTGTCACATTGCCATATTGACCACATACTTAGCTTTAAAGCAGCTATCAACAGATTTTGAAGATTGAAATCGTTAAGCACATATATTTTTACGAACAGGGCAATTATGGTAGAAACTAGTAAACTGTAAAAACAAGTCTGTGTAAGTCATAGACAAAAAGTCAATGTTAACGAGAAAATATTTTGAACTGAACAGTTAAATACCTGTGGATGAAGCTAATGCAATACTTAGAGGGTCATTGAGAGCCATAAATAAATATATTAGAAAAGAGCCTGAACTGTCTTGAGCTAAACAGTCATCTTTAAGAAGTTCGGAAAAGAAGAGCAAAATGAGAAAGTAGGTGCACAAAGAGCAGAAGTTAGTGGAATGGGAAAAGCAGTGATACACAGAGCCAGTTTGGTACCAGCTGGGGAGAGCCACCTGTGCCGCTTCTTTCTACCTCCATGATCAGTAATAACAGTTTGGTGAGCTTGAAATTGCCACGATGGAGACATTCATACTATGGAAACCAGCCAACAAGCCAGGCTTTCATTTTAATGTTTGTCGCCAATTCATTGGCACACCACTGCATTTAATTTTTTTTTTTTGTACCGGGAATGGAACTCACCACCTTTCACTTGCCAGGCAAGCAAGCGCTTGTGCCACTGAGCTATATCCCTGGCCCATACCACTGCATTTAAGAGAGTGAAAAAACCCCAAAGTGTATTCTTTAGAAGAAAAATTTTTAATTAACAAATATCTAATAGTTATTAGCATAGCTTATATTAGTAATGAAAACTATAGATTTATAGACCTGAAGGCTAGAGGATCTTACAAACAAAACAATGAAATTTAGATGAATGTACAAATTTTTAAACAAGTAACTGACTAAGTACCGAGTATGAATTATAGTCCTAAACTATTAAGTAATTTAAATCAGGACCAGGTGTGGTGCATGCCTCTAATCCCAGCACTCAGAAGGCTGAGGCAAGAGGATCACTGCAAGTTTGAGGCCAGCTGGGCTACATAATTGAAGGCCAGTCTGAACTACAAAGCACATATAATTTGTCTCTACAGACAGATTCTAAGTGCCTCACTCCACCAGTAGGTTCCCCCAAGCTTTGGACAATTCCACTGTTGCTACATAAGGCTACCATAACTTGTACTAAGTACAGAAGCACCAAACTTGAAACACCAAACTCTTTGAAACCCATTTGGTGAAAAATATGCCTTAAAGTGATATGAGGCTTTTCATAGTTGTTAGGTGTGTGTCAGTTAGGTAACTATGCATGTTTTGTTGTGGAAATGTTCATGTATTTGAGTACTGTTTCAGTTTGCATTGAGTTATACAGTGTATGGGATATGTTCCACATTACCATTCCAACATCTTAAGAAAGCTGTATTCCAAACACTTCTGCCTCCAAGATCATTTCAGATAAGTTATGTGGACCTAGATGAGAAAATATTTTTATGACTTTGAGAATCAAAAAAATTTTTAGCCATAAAAGATTGACAAATGTCAACTACCTAAAAATGAATGACTTTTATCTATCAAAACACTATATGTGGTTACTTTCTCTTGAGTTGAAAACACCATATGTAGAAAAGGCTAATCACAATGTGGGAAAAGTTTGCAAAATATGTAACAAAGAATGTAATATATTAAAAACACAAACCAATAGAAAATGTAATTTCCAAAAGGTGCAAAAAGCTTAAGTAGCACAACAGCAAAGAGGAATTGCAAATGACCAATGTATGGAAATCCCAACAGGCTCGTTAATAACCTCTGAAAATCACAGGGCAGTACTGTTAAGACACCTGCCAGATCAAAGAGTCATTCTTAGTCTGACAGTAACAAGTTTTAACAAGTCAAACAATGAGAATCATACTGCTGGTATCTAAAATTGATAGTCACTTTGGAAAACATTATCTAGCGGGATTATCTAGTAAAATTGAATACAATATTTACAACTTGAACTCTAAAGAATCCCTTGCACATGTGCATATTTATAATAGCTAAAAGTAAAATATAGCTCAAAACTACAACAATCCAGTAGATAAAATTTTAGTATACTTATTCTTTGAAACATGACACAGCAATGAAAAGGAACTAGCATTATTTACAATTACACAATAAGTCATAATGTAGGGTGAAAGAAGTAAACCAACCAAAGAATAGATATAGTATGTTCCCTCTCTGTAAAGTTCAACACTGGCAAAATTTAACTGGTATTTAGGGTGCGTACATAAGTAGTAAAACTGAGGAAAAGCAAAGAAATGATTGCCGCAGATGTTTCCTTCTAGGGCAAGTAGAAGGAGGTAGCCAGGGAAGGGTACATGAGGGTCTTCTGGGTTTGGAGAGGATTCTGTTTTGGGACCTGGATGTTTGCTTTATTTTTTAAATCACATGTCTTACTGATTTCTGTTTGTATATTTCAGTTTTTTGGTTTTTCTCCGGTACCGGGAACCGAACTCACGACCTTGCACTTGCCAGGCAGGTGCTTTTGCTGCTGAGCTAAATCCCCAGCCCCGTATATTTCAGTTTTTAAACAAATAGAATGAACAAGTGCCCAAGAAAGGTAACGTTTAGTAGAAATGATTTACAGAAAGGTAAATATAATGGCCATAGAGAATGATTAAAGTGTGATTACAAATCTTTAATGAATTGAGCATCTTATATGCTCTGCAAGGTCACAAGGCAGTAGGTCAGTAATCTCTAAGTGCTATACACCTAAGTACTTCCTGCTGTTCTCTGGTAGGCTGGAGACACAGAGAAGGAAAATATTCCCTAAGAGCTTCAGTGAATTGCAATAATGTGTCCCACTTTACCCCCAAAGAGAGCTTTGGTTTGCTAATTAGGAAACACTGGTTTAAACAAAAGAGCAAAAAGAACTAGAAGATAGGAACTTCGATATGTTGATTTTAAAAAAAAACGATGGCAGTAACAATAACAAAGGTCATATTTACCTTATAAAATGTTGAAAGACTATGGGCCAGTGAAAGAATATGGGTGCCATAAGGTGATTTGAGATGTGCGTTTTGTACATAAAATGTAATTTCCCATTTGAAATGGGAAGGAGGGGAGGGAAGAGAAGTGGGCTGGAAGAGGTAGAAGGTTGCATTCCCTGCTGCCATCCAGAGGAAACAGATTCTCCTGTCTGAACCTAATAGATTCCTGACCCTGGGAGGATGGGGCCTGGCAGACCCAGAAACACTGAAGAGGAACGTGTTGTTTTTCTGTTGCTGCCCACAGACTTTTATTTATAATCTCCACTGTTTTACAAAGCAGTTAACACAGACACCCACTCAGGGACACAAACAGGAGAAAGATTCCTCTGACTTCAGAGTCACTGCAGAGCTCTTTCAGAGGAGTTTCCATTACACTTCTGGCCAGGTTTTTTGTCTCATTAACTAGGGTGTATCCCACCCAAGAGGATGCTCACCCTGCCCCAGCCCCCGTACCTCAACTGTTCCATTTTCTTTGGTGAGCTGATCCACTCTCATAGCTTCCATTGCTACTATTATCAGTAATATTTGCAGGACTATGTTTTTTGGTCCTTAAAAAGTTTTGTTCCAGTTTTCTGTGTCCAAGGCTCTGGTGGACATTTAACGTGTTCCAGAACAGCTTTTCCTCCTGAGCTGCTGCTTGTAGTCAAATCTGCTGGCCACCTACAGCCCTACCAGTCATCTTTCACACATGCCACACACGTAGCCACTGTATTTCACAGACCTGAGGCACCTATGCAGTGCCAGCCACGGTGCTGGGCCTTGGAGATAAAGACTAAGGAGGGTCTGTGGCAGCCCTGCAGAAGCTCATTCAGTGGAGGGCATAGACTATCTTGCCATCTAACCAACTGTCTTGGGAACTGTAACAAAGGTGTACGTGTTTGTTGTTGTTGTTGCTCTGGGGATAGAATCCAGGGCATTGGGCATGGTAGGCAAACACTGTACCAGTGAGCCACACCCCCAGCTCTTGGGCGCTGTCACAAAGACATGCACCAAATACAAATACCGTGGGAGCCCATACTAGAAGCTTCCCAGAGAAATCAAAACAGAGACAGACAACATTACAGGCAGCAGAGTAAGAATATAGGTACTAGAGCCAGTCTGGACTTGATCCTGCCTCCCAGGATGTCAGGATGTATGATGCTGGGCAGGTTACTGGAACTTTTATATTACATTAGATTCCTTAACTGAAAGTGTAGGCAGCAACATCAACCTTAGGTTTCTTGTTAAGATTAAATAATCTACACAGAATACTTAAAACATGTCTAGACATAGAAAGATTTCACTTATTCATCATTCAACATATTTATTTAGCACTTACTATGTGCTAGTGTTTTAGGGTTTGGGAGAAATCAAAAAGCTATATGGATAAAAGTTCCTGCCCTCATGGAATGTACATCTAGCATGGAGACAATGAGCAATACATATTTTAAAAATGAGTATTTTTATATTATAGAAGTCATCTTGGAGTTAAAGGAAGAATTTCTGTAAACAGGATAATACTACATTTCATTCAATCTAAGATGCACTGATTATAACTGAATCATTATTTTATCTACCACTAAGAAAGGAAAAGTCATTTTAAATTATACTGCATTGCCCATTTAATACTTAGGATTTTTATCATAAATGTATTGAACATATGTAGACATATATAGGCATGTTTTTTATCATATCGTATGTGGTTAAGGTATTCCTAAAATTTTACTACATTTAAGAGTCATAATTCTCTGACTCACCTTGATTCTGTTACTAATGTAACTCCAGTATGGCAATGTTAGAAGGTGGGGGGACCTTTATTGGGCCTGGTGGGAGGTCATTAGGTTATTTGGTAATTTGTATTTAGAAGAGATTAAGATCAATTGCATGGGTCCCTATTGCTAAATAAACCTCTTTCTTTACAAATTATCCCAAGTATTATGTTTTAACAATGGGAAACAAACTAATACAGTTGTAATAGCTCATAGCTGTCATCTAGTTAAGTGTATAAATTATATAGTGCAACAATATAAATTCCTTGCTTACTCATTTAATATTTCTGGTCTTGGATTTAATTGTGAATATTACCTCATCTATTTTCTTTTTCATAGCATTCCCTTGCTGTATCTTTTTTCAGTCTTTTATTTGCAGCATTCCTTGTGTCACTGTGTTTTAGTTTTACCTCTTGTCCATACCACAGAGTGGCATTTAAAATTCATACATGAGAATCTCTGTCTTTAATGGATGATTGTGACCTACAAGGAATAGAGAAGTGTTTGGAATTATTGCAGCCAGTCCAGGCAGTTTCTAGTAGGTTGGGACAAAGTATAAGTGGAGTCCATGTTTTCCTACCTAATATTTAAAATTTATGAACCAAGCTGAAAAGAAAATACAGTCTGTCTGTTTCTCTTTGGAAAACATATCTTCATAAGGCAACCTTTAAAATATGTATAAAGATATGGTTTTCATACAACTAAAAATTGCCAAATGTCATAGCTGAATGAATTATTATTACCCATTTCTGACTGTAGCATCAAAAGGTCAGCAATATTTGATTAATAAAATAATTTGTTCAAAATTTTTTGTTACAAAATGTATGTTCCTGGCATTCATTTTGGCAAAATTGTTAATTAAATTCCTAAAAGAAAGTTATCGGGTTAATAGTATCCCTTAGTTATTGCAGGCTGATCAGGTCCACAATCTCCCAAACAAGTGTACAGTAAAGGCTAAATAAAAAGAGGTAAATGGAATGATTTCAGGGCTTCAAGAGGATTAAAGCCCTCTCACAGAATTCAAGATTCTCTTGGGGCTAAGACCAAGACCTCTGGGTGGCCCATATTTATTTGGTTATCAGAAGAAGGGAGGGGAGTATTCAAGGACTTCTCCAAGTAAGGTATTAAATTAATCCTTAATAAGGATTAAATTAATCCACCCAGGAGTGAGATGCCTGAGGCTGTAGTCTTTTTCTAGTTGAGATCAGATCTAAGTGTCCTAGACTATGTTCTTGTGTTATCCTTTGAGGCTTTCTGGCTTCATCCACCATTACATGCTTTAGTAGGGATTAATGACTCACAGAGGTTCATTTACTATGAGTCCTCACCCATTTCCAAACAAAGAAGCTTAGGCCTTGGACAGATTCACAAGTGAACATGAAAAGCCAGATGATTAATTTAGGTCCTACTCAAGGCTGTTGTGTAGTGGTCTCCATTAAAAGTTTTGTATATGTGTACAGATCTAAGACAGTTAAAAGATAAATATGATTATGTTAAAAATACACAAAATCTGGATGTATACTCCTAAAAATAAATTGAAATAAATGTAAAGAAGTGAAAAAATTATTTTCATGATATGGTCACACTTACCTATTAAAATCTAAAAGGCAAAATGTAAGAAAATATCTATGAAACAGTAAGTCAACATTACTATAACAAAGTTGTTTTTAATTTCTGAAAATTTAATTACATATTTGTTAAATGTTTTCATAAAAATATAATTATATACAAGTACATGCAGAGTTTATCTGGCTGCCAGTGGTATGAATTGATATCATGTCTCATTTGTTTTAGATCTGGAATTTGTACATATACTCTGAAGAGTATTATGAATTATTTAACATTGAGAAATATTCTCTATGTCCAAGTGCAACCATTATGGACATCACAGACACCTGTGAAGAACTCTAAACCCATGAATTGGAGCATACTTGGGTATTTGCTGCTCCTGGGGAAAGATATTTTGTAGTATAGTGATTGATTACATTCTGACCACCTGAGAAGAAAAGGTTGCACATTAATTTAGCTTTTCTGATACTAAGGCATATCTTCCTGGCAAACCCTGCCTGCTGGTCCAAGCAGCTGCATGCTGCTGACAGCAGTAATACAATGGGAAACTTCATGCCTCTTAGAAACAGAGCCACAAGAGGACCTAGACTAGTCCTAGGAGCCAATATTCATGACTGAATGCTGGATTTCACATGACTTGCTGAGCCTGTTTTTTGTTTTATGAAATTACCTGAAAGTATTAAGCATAGAGTATTGTAAAGTCTTGTTCATCTGGTTTTCTCTTGTTCTATGGATGATAGTTCTTCTGACTTTTTAGTAATGTCTTCATTCACATACAGTGTTGGTCTTGTTTAAATGCTGGTTGAATTTTGTAGTCTGTTCATGCTTGTCATTGCTAAATTATGGTTTAGTGCATACCCTGTTTCTTTTGATTGGGGAGAAAGGATGGGAATTTTAGCTGAATGAGATGTGTGGGTAGATTGCCTTCTGTGTGGGGCTTCCCTTAGGGCTCCCTTGGAAGGTATTTTGTGTCATAATTTCCCCTCTAGGAATAATCATGGCATGCCATATACCTCCCCTTTCTTTTTCAACTCCACTAGATGCTCAGCCATCTGGAATCAGCTCACCTTCTCAGCAAACATGGCTCTTCCCAGGTAGGTTAACCCCTCTGGATGGCAAGCATTCTAGGATTTAAACCTAGGAGCAGGAGCAGGACCCTAGCTACTGCTTCTTGCCTCCCCTGGCCTTGCTGTGAGGAATGCAGCCATCTCAATTTAGGCGTGAACTTGACCATGAGTTTTCTCTGGAGCTGTGTAGGGGAAATGGCTCCTGTGCTTGCTTACACATTCACTTGAGTACATTTTACATTGCAGTTGCTATGTGCCATTTGCTTTACATAAGTGAGATTCCATCTCTTTCTTAATCTCAAGAATTATGCAACATTTCTGACCCCATACTTTCAGGATTTGGGAGGAAGTGGAGCAAGTAGTTGGCTTGTATCTCACTCACCTTCTTTCTCCTTTTCTGAAACTCTGTAGGAAACAATAAAGGTGTAGCAAAACAGGAATGCTTTCAGAAAACACACAGTCATAAATGCTGCTCGCAGTCAACCCTGTGATACTGAATAAAAGTGACACTCTGTAGGTTTTGTGATGGCTGCTTCTTCCCTTCCTTTGAGGCCACCTCCTTCATGGCTCCCAGTCTGTCCCTCACAGCAGCCAACAGTGTATTATGTTCCACTATCACGTAAGGTCACTCTTGGCCAGGCATGTTGGTGCACACTTGTACTCCCAGTACTCAGGAAACTCAGCCAGGAAGATCACCTTGAGTTTGAGGCCAGTCTAGGCAACATAGTGAGTTCAAGG